CTTGCTTCAGGCGTTAACATTCAGGGTGAATTTGGATCTGATGGACCTTTTAGGATATCAAATAAAGGTCCCAACTCTCCTGGTGATATACCTAGATAAGGCCTTATCCAATTTATGTCTCCTAATAACTTTTGAAAGTCGTTAAGTGATTTGAGTTGATCTACTCGTATTTGAATTTTTGGTGGACGGACCATGGTTGAGGACAATAGAACTCCTAAATAATTAATTGGAAAATTTAATTGTACTTTATCTATTGCTATCTCTAGATTATAATTTTTTAATAAGTTTGTAAGTGTGGCATAACATTCTAGCAATGTGTTTTTATCTTTGTGTGCTAACAATACATCATCCATATAGTGAAATATTTGTAGTTCAGGATTTTGATTTCTAAGTGGCTGGATTACTTTGTTAACATAAATTTGACACATAGTTGGGCTGTTAGCCATCCCTTGAGGGAGTACTTTCCATTCATATCTCTGATCAGGACCTTCATGATTCAGTGCAGGGATAGTAAATGCAAAACGTGGACTATCCTCAGGATGAATTGGAATTGAAAAAAAACAATCTTTAATATCTATAACTAAAACATACCAGGTTTTTGGCAAAGCAGACAATTGAGGAATCCCCGATTGAGCAGGTCCCATAATAACCATCTCATTATTAATGGCTCCTAAATCTTGCAATAATCTCCATTTACCAGATTTCTTTTTGATGACAAAAATGGGAGTATTATGGGGAGATACAGAAGGTTGTATATGTCCTTCCGCTAATTGTTGTTTGACCAGGTCATGGGCTGCTTGTATCTTTTCTTTAGTCAGGGGCCACTGAGGAACCCATACTGGTCTTTCTGATTTCCAAGTAATTTTTATTGTCTCAGAGGCCCTTTCTGAAAATCCAACCCATGTCTCTCTGTTCCTTGATCTATTTGAATTGGTGCTGTCATACCTTGTTCTTGTTTTTCTAATCTTTTTCCTTTCCTAAAACCTTGTCTAGCCATAATAGTGGGTGCATTTTGATTGATGTTATTTGTTAATGTCAAACCTAATTGATCTAGGACATCTCGTCCCCATAAATTTACGGGAAGATGATCCAATACATATGGTTGTATAGTTCCTTCACATCCTTCAGGATCCTTCCAATCTAATACCATTGCACTTCTATGGGGATTAGTCGCCACTCCTAGGCCTCGAAGCGTTTGAGTGGCTTGTTGTAATGGCCAATGTTTTGGCCATTCTTGACGAGAGATGATGCTAAGGTGTGCACCTATATCCATTAGCCCATTAAATTCATGTCCTTGAATATTTAGTTTTAGCATGGGGCGAGAATCTAAATTTAAAGAAAGCATAGCCCAATCTACACCTGTGGAGCCTAATCCCTTGGAACCTCTTTCTACAGTACAACTGGAAAATTTATCATGTAGGCTGGGTATTATTAGTAACTGTGCTATTCTATCTCCTGGTGAAATTACTGATATACCCTTTGGAGAACTGGCTATAATTTTTATTTCACCTTCATAATCAGGATCAATTACCCCAGGACTTATCATAAGTTCTTTTAGAGTAGAAGAACTGCGTCCCAATAATAAGCCTACTGTTCCTTTGGGAGGAGGTCCTTTTACCCCTGTGGGAATGATTTGAACTCCCATCTCTGGAGTTAGTACTGTTCTGGCGGGGGCACAGATGTCCAACCCTGTGCTCCCTCTGGTTTGTCTGATGAGGGATCTAATGGACAATGTGTCCTGAGCACTACCCTGATGGGATTGCTGGGTTCCTCCAGTGCTCCATATATTTGTGGTTTTGGGCCCCGGAGCATTGGACCCCGCTGTCCATTTTTTTGGCAATGGAGCCCAATGCCTTTCTCCATGATATCGTGGATAAACACCTGGTCCTTGTTCATTTTTTGATAATGGAGTACCCTCTATGGTGGTTTGAGAATGGCATTCATTAGCCCAATGTCTCCCTCTACGGCATCGTGGGCAAATACCTGGTATTCTACTCCTTTGATACCTAGTTTTGTTAAACCCTCCTCCTATGGGGCAATTCCTTTTAAAATGCCTGTTTGTTCACAATTGTAGCATGTTCTTGGCCTGGCATCTAAAGCCTGTTTTACTGCAGCTGCCATGATTTTCCCTTGTTCATTAATGTCTCTGGCATCTAAAACCTGTTGTACTGCAGCTGCCACGACTTGCCCTTGTTCATTAATGTCTCTACATAATTTAATATATGTGTTTAAATCTTCATGTTTCCATGGTCTAATGACTTCTCTGCACCAACGATTCACTTGCTCATAAGCCAGTTGTTTTATTAATGGCATTGCTTGTTCTGTATTCCCAAAAACTCTGGTAGCTGTTTGAATAAGCCTATCTACAAATTCAGCATAAGGTTCATTAGCTCCTTGTATTACCTTAGATAATTGACCTTGTAAACCTCCATGTCCTTGTAAAGTCTTCCATGCCCTAACCGCATCTACAGCAATTTGTATGTATACGCCAGGATCATATGCAATTTGTTGCTGCTGACCCTCATAAGGTCCCTTTCCTAACAACATATCTAGATTTCTCTGAGGATAACCAGCTGCTGCATTTCGCCTAGCCGACTCCTTGCAAAATTCCTCATTGGCAACCTTCCATAACAGGTATTGTCCTCCATTTCACACAGCTTTACACATATTAGCCCAATCTGCTGGCGTCATGTTCAAGTTGTTAATGGATTCGACCATGCTTACAGTGAAGGGTGCTTGAGGACCATAGGTTGTTACAGCCTCTTTTAGCTGCTTCACTTTTTTGAAATTTAAAGCATGGTGAATTCGCTGCCCTCCTGCCTGTTCAAATACAGGGCATGTTAGTATTTGAGATCCTGTCTCAGGATCCCAACTATCAACTGCGGGGGTTGGGAGCCTCCCAGCATATGGAGGTGGCGCTGTTGGTTGGACACTTACGCCCTCTGGTGATAGAAAGGTGTTAGTAGCAGTCTCCTGTTGTAACTTTTCCCCTGATGGCTTTTTCTGCTCTAAAGTTTCTTCCTCTGTCTGACTAGTTCGAGAGACCTTCTCTTTTACTTGAATCAATATGTCTTCTCCTTCCTCTACCATTGTCTGAACTGAAGGCTTTGGACTAAGCAAACAAGATACAAACGTCCACAATGGCAATGTGCCAACTGGCAGAGTCCCTGGGCTTTTCTTTTCTATTCTTTTTAAATCTTCACCATGATGGTTCCATTGTGATATATTTAACAACTCCTCCTTAAAAAGCCATGGGCTACATTTTTGTATTGTATCAACGTATGCCCTGACTGTTCTTGATTTTACTGAGATGCCTCCTTCCTCTAACAATTTACTTAACACTCTTTCGGTTTGTTTTTTACTAATTTCTGACCCCATATTTCTACTATAATACAACCCAACAAGATGACGCCAAACAAAACTGAGACAGAATGAAACAAAAATGGAACAACAAAAAATCATTATAGCCTTTCTATCCTCCTGAAATGTCCATCTGTCCTTTCTCCCTATCTGTTCCTCAGACGTAAATAGTTTTTCCTCAGATGTGAGCGGTTTTTCTTCCGTCTCACTCATCTCCAGGGACAGGAAACTTAAAACAAAAGCGAAACAAAACAAAAGAAGAATCTTAAAATGGCTACCCATCCTCTCGCCCTGCCCTCAGGGGCGAGCAGTTTACCTTATCACTTACCCTCAGTCGTTCCCTGTGCGAGCCACCAAATGCCGCAGTCTGGCTGGGCACAGTTCAGGAGCCACTTGTCAAAAGAAATGAACTTTATTTTTAGAACCACACACCAAACCACACAGCTCCTCAGGAAAAACCCTCAGAGCCTCAACTGCCACCACCGGCTTCCCACAAGCCTCTCCACCTCCCCCACTCCTCCTGCTCTTGAGGCCGATTGGCTGAGTCTCGTGGGTGGAGCCAAAAAAAGTCCCCCAATGAGCAGCTCCGTGGTCTGAAAGGGCAGGGAAACAGCCCAATGAGCATCACCTCAGAGGAGCCAATCAGTTGGCAGCTAGAAGTTGCTGGGGCTGCTGTGAGCCAATCATCAGCTGGCAGCTGGAAGTTTGCTGGGGCCCCTTCGGGTGTGGCTCTCAACAGTGGACTGTTAGATTTTTCTGATCCATGAGTTCCAGGATGAACTGATACTTCATCTTATGGGATGGAGGCAGTTTATAAAGCCCGAGACTGAACTTTGCACACGTAATGTTTTTATTAGTATTAACATATGATTGACTGCGGAGAGGGGAGAGGCGTGTGGACAAGAGGGTAAAAACATGATTTAACTTAAAAATAAGGGTTGGGAATGTCACTCAAAGTTGGAGCACTTTCCCAGCAGGTGCAAGATTCTGGGTTCTGTCCCCAGCACCATGGGCGGTGGGGGTGTACATTACATGGACTACTGAGAAGGATTGAATACCTTTATGGAATCACAGTAACAACCTGCCACTGTCTCTACAAAATAAAAGACATGTAAAATTTTAATTTGCTGAGATTAAACTTAAATTATTAAATTTGTGGCCTAAAGCATTCTCAAGAAATGAAATCACTGTTAAAAGAAACAGTAGTGTGCTGTGGATATGGCTCAGTGGTAGAGTACTTGCCTGCCATGCATGAAGCCCAGATTCCATTCCCAGCACCACAAAAAATAAAAATAAAAAATAAAAATTTAAAAAAGCAGTATTTTTTGTTTGTTTTAAAATAATACGTTTTTAGTTTTATAAATTTGACAATAATAATTGTACATACTTATAGGGTACATTTTAATAATATCTATACAATGTGATCAGATCAGGGTAATTGGAATATCCATCACTTTAAACATTTATCACTTATGTTGGGAATGTTAAAATACTTACTGTTCTGAAATATACAATTGCTGTTGACCACAGTTACCCTACTGATGAGCAGTAGTTTTAAGCTTTATTTGAACTTAAAAAACACATCTCTGGGCTGCAGAGGAGTTCTAATATACTAGGTCTGCACCTTTTCTCTCTCGTAGGATGATTCTGAGGTCCCATTTACTGAAGAGGATTATCGAAGAAGAAAGCATCATCCTAATTTTACAGACCACATCAATGCTGAAAAAATGGTTCTCAAATTTGGAAAAAATGTAAGTATGGAGTCATAGAACATTTAGGGTAGAAAAAGGGTTTTTTGAGGCAGTGTACCTGGGCTTCTTCCTCCTCATTCATATTTACTCAACCTGGTTAAGGTAATATTTTTACTTATCTGCACAGCTGGAAATGCTCCTGGCTTTATTCACACTATCACGATTCTTTAAACACCTTTGTTTTAGTTTCCTTGTATTTACACCCACAGATCTCTCAGCTTCAGGTTCACCCCAAGATGTACTGCCCTTAGGGTGCTGGCCCAGGCTCTCAACTAGCCCACTGAAGTAAAGCCCTCACCCATCAAGGGGTCTGAACATCCCAAGGGTCCCTGGTCCAGAAGATGCAGATAACTCAGTTGGAATGGAAAAGAGGGGAACTACATTGTCTCTGATCCCAGAATCTATCTCATTTGTTTCTTAAAACAATTCTGAAAAGTGCATATTAACTTCATCTTGCAAATAAAGAGATGGCACCTTCCAGGGGTTAACTAGGATTTGCCAAGCCATCCTGCGCACTGCTCTGCCTTGTCTGATCTACCCCTTACAACAGTGGTATTGTCTGCGGACACCACTGTCCCCTTCATAGATGCAGACACCATGGGAAAGTGGTGGGGCTGGGATTCAAACTGAGACCCATCAGACAACAGGCCTGTGGATTTGCTTTTATTATTTCCCCCTGACTCCAAAACTCTATCATCCAGTAGAGTTTATCTTGACACATCCACAGTCACTCACTATTAAAACATACTGAAGGCTGAGAAGTTTATGTAAACAATAATAAGAGCTTATTAGAGCTGGGGTGCGATTCCATGGTAGAGCACTTGCCTTACATACACAAGGCCTGGGTGCCATCCCCACTACCAAATAAATAATAATAATAATAGCTTATTAGCCTTCTATTGCAACAAATGTATCATTTTTACATATATCTATCATAAAATTATTTTTTTTCTCTTGCCTTTTATCAACATAAACGGTGGAATACCCTGGTAATGAAGAAGTAGTAATAGCTGAGAAGTCATTAGGGGCTTAGCTTCCAGGATCTCATGTGTAATTTACAAAATTCTGTGAAGTAGGTGCTTCTATCATCATCCCTGTTTATCTTATATGGAACCCCAAGGATTCCCTTAAGGATTTCATTACATTTTTCCCCTAGAAGACCCACAGTTAAGTGATGTGGAATAATAGTTCTAAGGTGACACCTAGTGGTCTTGGAATATATTACAACAGAAGTTCAAGTGTCCTCAAGTTCTGGCTGACTATAAAAAACACATTGACATTAGCAATGAATTAGGAATTCAATCCCCTTTTCTGTCCACTAGCTTATGACCTTTATCAAGTCATTAAACTTTTGGGGTTATGATGTCTTTTTTTTTCTAACTGTTGGGAATTAAAGCCAGGACTTTGCACATGCTAGACAACGTTCTACCACTGAGCCACATACCCACCCCATAATTTCTGGGGTTAAAATAAATAAAGCAAAGGGGCTAGATTAGATGTTCTAATATTCTTCCAGTGCCAAATTCCATAACTTTATTGTTTTGTTAAAATTCATGATTGTTGATCATTTATGTCTAATTCATTAGTTTAAAATAAATGATCATACGCAAAAACTAACTAGTTGTCTGAAGTAAAGAAATATCATCATCTTATTATCATTAATATTTATTATAAAAATCAAACACCTTCAAATAATGAAATCTATTCTTTTCATCTCCATCTTTATTTCTTTCCTTCTGTTTTTGTTGTTGTTTGTTTTGTTTTTTGTTTTTTGTTTTGTTTTGTTTCTTCTCCCAGTGCTAAGGATCAGCCCAGGGCTTTATGCATGCTCATCAAGCACTCCACCACCAATCTACATCGAAAGCCCAATTTTTTAATATCTTTGATAAATGCACTATTTTTGATCTCAGTCATTTGCCAACTAATTGTCAAAAATCAATTAAGAATTAATACCATAAATCAAGGCGGGCATGATGGCACACAACTGTAATCCCAGCAGCTCTACAGGCTGAGGCAGGAGGATCACAAATTCAAGGCTAGACAGCAATTTATCGAGACCCTGTCTCAAAAAAAAAAAAATAGAGATGTAGCTCAATAGTAAAGATTCCCTGGGCTCAATCTGAAACGCACACACACAAAACAAAGAAGAAGAATCGACACCAAGAATTGTCGTTCTGATAGAATGTTGTAGAATAATGTCTGATGCTAATAGTTTTCCCACTGTCTGGGTTACACAAGACCTAACATAGAAAAGGCCCCTGTGTCTGTGGATTATGAAAGATTATAATTGCTTTTTTGTTTGTTCTATTTGTATTTTCTATAATCAATCAGTTATTGGTACATTTTAGAAGTTTTCTCTCTAAGCAAGTACAGGATAGCTACTGAAAGGCAGAATAGGGCTGGGGTTGTGGCTCAGTGGTAGAGCACTCACCTAGCACGTGTGAGGTACTGGGTTTGATTCTCAGCACTTCATATAAATATAAATAAAATAAAGATCCATCGACAACCAAAATTAAAAAAAATTTAAAAAGAAAGGCAAAATAGAAATATTTGTAAACTTCATTTGACTAGAATGTTCAATATGTGTATTCCCGATTTTGCATTCTTTGATGACATTAGCACAGAAAAGAAAGTGAAATGTCTCTCCTGTAACATGGTGCGTGTAACCCAATAGGATTCCCAAAGTTTCACCAAAATTCAAACAAGCCAACCAGACTTTGACTTTCTGATACCAGCCTAAAATGATGCTAGCCTTTCTTTCTTTCTTGTTTCTCCCACACACACCACCACCACCACCACCATTTATTTAGTTGTTTCTTTATTGTGTGTGTGTGTGGGTGGGTTGGGGTGGAACCCAGGGCCTCACGCCTGCTGGGCCAGGTCTCTCCGCTGAGCCACACCCCACAGCCCCTGTGACTCTTCCTTGCCTACTGAAGTCACAGGAAGGGAAGTGCTCAGAGTCATCATCTGCTTGAGGCCCAGTACTCCACGCCATCCACTCTCAGGTCTTCTATTTCTCTTCTCTAAAGGGTCCTGTCTCCCCAGCAGACCCCCTTCAAGCCCTTAGTTGAAGCAAGATACTGGTATGTGTCTTTTAAAGTACAATGGGGGGCATCTGAACCCTAACTTCAGCCTGCTCAGTTCCCAGCACTTTTTCCCAAACCATAGTCTCAGACCAAAGTGACCCATAAAAGATTCAAAGCATCCTAAAATAAAGCTGCTAACGAGAATGTTTTACTGAAACCAATTTCCTCCTTAAACATTGTATCAGAAAGAATGAGTGAAAAAAAGAGCATTTTCCCCCACATTTTTGGTTGGTGCATTAGAGTTGTACACAGTGGTAGGATTTGTTGTTGATATCTGCACATGCACACAATGTGACAATGTGATTTGTCCAATATCACCCCCCAGAACATCCTCCCCAAAAGAGCATTTTTTTAAACTTGCACTACCCCCCACACCCATGTTTAGAATCTTCCTCTGTTTTATCCCTTCTGTTTTGAGCCGTCTTCCACCCCCTAAATTCTTAGCTGCACTCTCCCACCTACCCCATAAAACCTCAACAGTTATTTAATTTCTTCCCAGAAAGCAAATGCATGCCCATCTAGTTGGGGCTTGAGAGGACCTGCAGGATTACCTCATGCACATAGGCTTTTAAAATCCTTTGGGGAATCTTTTGCTGTCACATTACCCAGGACATTTAGGAGAAAACAGGGAACAAGATCACCTTGCTTAGCTATTCCACTGGTAGGAATGAGGACCAATTATAGCATGTGTTGTCCAGGTTTCTATTACTGTAACAAAACACCTGAGATCATAAACTAATAGGAGGAAAGATTTGTTTGACTCGCTGTTTCAGAGGTTTCAGTCCATGACTTACTGTCCCTGTTGTCTTGGCCTGTGGTGGCACAATACATCATGATGGGAGTGTGTGTTAGAGGAGGCCACCTCATAGCTGGAGGGAAAAAAAAGAAGAAGAAGAAGAAGAAGAAGAAGAAGAAGGAGGAGGAGGAGGAGGAGGAGGAGGAGGAGGAGGAGGAGGAGGAGGAGGAGGAAGAAGAAGAAGAAGAAGAAGAAGAAGAAGAAGAAGAAGAAGAAGAAGAAGAAGAAGAAGAAGAAGAAGAAGGAAGGAGAGACAGAGTCCCACAATCCCCTCAAGGTCATCCCCCCGCCCCCGCCAGTGACCTGAAGACCTCCCACTTGGCACCCCCTCCTGAAGGTTCTAGCACCTCCAACAGCTCCAGGCTGAGGTGCTAACATATGGGCCTTCGGGGAGCACTCCAGATCCTTGTAGCACAGTGATGTAATTGCTCCTCAAAACCTCCTTCCATGGCCCTGATTCTGCCACCCTGTGGCTTTTCCTGCTGGGCTCCGTCCTCAGTTCATCAGTTCCCTCCCTGAATTTACCAACCTCTGACTCTCCAATTCTAGCAAGTCCTCGAGAGGACTTCATTCTACTGTGGGGGCTTGGTGTGGCTCAGTGGTGCAGCGCTTTCCAGCATGAGGAGGCCCCGGGTTTGATGCCCAGCATCACACAAATGAAAGAAAGGAAGGAAGACAAGACAGCAGCCCGATAGCCCCGCTGCGCCACCGTGCTACTTCAGTTGGTAATGGGTAGCTGGAGAGAGCAGTGCCCCCAGCCACGGCCTCCTCTCCAGGGAGGCTGACTGCCCAACCTGCTCTAGCTAGCTTTTGCTTGGCTGTGACCCAAATGTGTTGACAAGAGCAAGTTAGGGGACAAAAAGTTCATTTGGGGAGTCTTTTGCTGTCACATTACCCAGGACACTTAGGAGAAACCCGGGAACAAGGTCACCTTGCTCCGCTCTTCCACTGGTAGGAATGAGGACCACAGATTCAGAGGTCTCAGTGCAGACGGCAGCTCCAGTGCTCTGGGCCCTGGTGGGAGGCAGCAGTCATGGAGGAGAGCTATCAGCGCATGGAGGCCAGGAAGCGGGGGGCGGGAGGGGGGATGCACCTGCCAGGGCACCCCCAGTGACCCACCTCCTCTAGCCATGCCCACCTGCCTGCACTACCACCCACTCAAACCAGGATGGTCTAATGAGGTTTCGGCTCTTGTAATCTAGTTATATTACCTCTGATCATTCCTGAATTAACACAGGAGTGTTGGGGACACCTCACTTCCACACCATAAAGCAATCTAATTAACCAAAGGTTTTTAAAGTTCTGATCTGAAGTGAGGCAGCCTCTGGAAGTCTGGAAGTCGGGTGTTCCCTGGAAGGGCTGGGGACAGGGCTGAGTGGAAAGGGCTGGAGCACTTGCCCACAAGCCCTCTAGAGGTCACTGCTCCTTGTAGACTGGAACCTTAGATCAGCAACACAGAAAAACATCATGCCAACAATTAATTACACGAGGTTATCTGGGGATTTGATTTGTTGTTTGGGTTTTTTTTTTCTTTTTTATCCTTATTACTTTTTTATTTTGAAAGTGTTTCACTGTGTTGCCCTGGTTGGCCTCAAAAAACTCCTGGACTCAAATGATCCTCCTTCCCCGGCCTCCCAAGTAGCCGGGATGACAGAAATACCATTGCTCCCAGCTCGATTTCTTAATTAAGCACCATCCAGGTCACATATTTACTAGAATATGAGTGGGGAGGGCACAGAGGGGGAAGATCAGTGCCCAGGTACGCTCTCTGCCCTAAGCTTCCAACATGCCAGAAAGCCATATGCCCTGGGCCACTCTCGGCACTGTGATGAGTATTAAAACACAGATAAATGCTGGGTGGGGTGTGGCTCAGTGGTAGAGCACTTGCCTAGCACTTACCTGAGCCCCAGGTTCCATCCCCAGTGCCACCACTGAGGCAAAGTCTCACAGTGCCTGGCCCACCCCAGGTCGGGTGAGTGAACATCCATGCCAGCTAAAACTCCCCCAACTTGCTTCGTGCTCCACCCCTACCCTACTAAGTGGTTAAAGAACTTCACAGAAGGTCCCTTTTTAAAGGTTCCTTCCCCCAGTACCAGGATAAAACTTTCAGGTATTACATTTTTACAAATAATAGCTTTGGCTTTAATTGAATTAGGATTCCCAACTAAAAAAAAATTTTTTTTTGTACCAGGGGGTTGAACCCAGGGGTGCTTTACCACTGTCCTTCATCCCCAGCCTTTTTAATTTTTATTTTGAGACACTAAGTTGCTTAGGGCCTCACTAAGTTGCTGAGGCTGGCCTCAAACTTGTGATCCTCCTGCCTCAGCCTCCTGAGCTGCTGGGATTACAGGTGTGCACCACTGCACCAGCATTCAACTAAATTTTAATTGTGGTCAAAGACATTCCTGAATAGTGCAGAAGTGTGTTCTCCCATTTAAAGAACATTATTTCTGTCCTAGACAATACCTAAGAAGCCTGGAAGAGTTAATGAAACTTCCTTCAGTGCTCATTTTAACTTCTCAAATGATCTAGTAAACAAGATTGTTAAACATTATGTTCAGCTTTTGTTCTGTTTTAACTAACAGGTCAAAAAATTCGCAACTTATGTTATTGCTGCCGGACTTCAGTATGGGGTGGAAGAAGGCATCTTACACACTTTTTTTAAGGTAGGACTTTTCAATGACTATGGATATTTTAACGTGTTTTGCGGGACTCGGGGTGGAGCTCGGTGGTAGAGCACTTTGCCTCTGGGTTCCATCCCCAGCACCACAAATAAATAATAAATAAAAAGTGTGCTGCAATAAGGAAACGCAGATTGAAGGTGGCTAGTTCCACATAATAAGGAAAAACTTGGGCATCTACCGTTACCACCTGCGCTTAGTTGCCATTATTAACCACTTATGTTCACACGCTGAGAACAGTAAAGGAAAAGATGGATTTCCTTTCATTGATGAAATAAATATTAAGTGCCGACCATGTGCCAACTCTTACAGGTACAGGGGACACAATAACATCATAAAGCCTCTGTCCTTGTGGTGCTTACTTCTAGTGGGGTAAGCTAAAAACAAAGAAGATGAAGATGTGAACAAAGACGCCAGCAAATATGGAACATTTCAGAAGTTGAAACACGCTCCAAAACCCAGCAGCACAGAATAAGGTGGAGCGTGCCAGGCGGGGAGATGGCTCAGGGAAGACTTTCTAAAGATGTGGTGTCTGAGGGAAAGGCAACGAGGGAAATCACTAAGGTGCTTTCTGGGGAAAGAACATTCCAGGCAGTGGGACTTGAATGCAAAGAGCCCAGGTGGAAATGTGATGGCTGTGTTTGAGGAACAGCAGGAAGACCAGGAGGCCCAAGGAGTTTCAGGGAGTCAGGCGGAGCCCAGGTCCCAGCCACGGTAAGAGCTTTGGCTTTTTTCCCCTAAATGAGCTGGGAGACCATCGGACTGTTTTGAGCACAAAAGTCACAATCTGAAGTTTTAAAAGATCTCGCCTGTTCTGCAGCTAGGTGAGGATGTGCCCTAGTGGGGCAGGCAGAATGGAGAGGGAGGGAGACCGGCCAGGAGGGTCTGAGACCTGAGTGGAAACAGTGGTGATGCTGAAAATTGTTCCGGTCGGGGTGTGTGGGGAAGGTAGAGGCAGTGGGATTGCTCAGACTGTGAATGCAAAGGGGACTGAAAGCAGAGGACCATGAAAAGGATCCGGGTGTAAGCAGTGGACATATGGGGGCTGCAGGCTATTGAGATGGGCAGGATCGGCGCTGGAGTAGGGCAGGGCGAATGCAGTGGGAATTCAGGAGTCCAGTCTGGGCCTGTGACTGGAGATGACTGATTTCCAGCACAGATCAGAGTAGGCGGTTGGACGTAAGAGTTAGAGATCAGAGATCAGGATTGACATGTCATGTCACAGGCTGCCTCATAGAGAAGGTTTTAGATCTGTGGGACCCGACGACTTCACCAGGAGAAGGAACGTGGAGAAGATATGAGTCGGACATTCCAGTGTTTAGGGGCTCCAGGGAGATGAGAGGGAATGAGAAGGGGAGGCTGCCGGGGTGCCCGGAGGTAAGAGAAGAAGAGAGAGCCAAGCAAAAAAGTCTCTAAAAAGAAAGAATGAAGGCTGGGGACAGCTCTGTCAAGGAGTGCTCACAAAGCACACGAGGCCCTGAGCTCAAATCCACACTGCTGAGTCAATAAAGAGAAAGAAGGAAAGAAATCATGTCACATGCCACAGATAATCAAGTCAGATGAGACCTGAGAGTTGGCCACTGGGTTTTGCGAGGCTGTAGGACAACAGTCCCGCAGGAGTGGGTTCTGCAGGGAGCAGGTGGAGAGGAGTTCAAGAGGAATTTTGCTGTAAAAGAGGGATAGAGACAACAGGGGAAAGATAGAGGGAAGAGGGTAGTTGAAAGGCTGGTTGGATCTATTTTTTAATAAATATGACAGCTGAAGAGGATAAGCCTCAGAAAACTCCCTGTCCTGTCCCCTCTCGGCGGCCCCTCCCTGCCTGACCGCTGAGTGTTGGCCTTCCAGGGCCTCTGCCGACCCTTTTGTCTCCCCCCTGTAGGCTCTTTCCCTGGGCCACTCCCCCAGGACGGGCACCAGTGTCCTCCAGACCTAGCCCCCCAGCCAGGCTCTCTCTTACACTCCAGCTCTACAGGTCCAGCTGCCCCCTCAGTCCCTTAACTCTACCTCTGAGCCACATCCCCAGGCCTAAATCCTGCAGTCACCCCCAAACCTGCTCCCCCTCCAGAGCTCCACCTCAGAAAATGGGACCACTCTACATCTAACTACCATCAGAACCCAGTTCCTCCTCCTCACCCCTCACCAGCTTCCCAAGTACTGGTCAAACCCAACTTCCCTTCACCCACCTCCTGCTTCCCAGCCTCTAGTAATTCTCCATTCAGATCAACTTTTTTTTTTTTTTTTTTAGCTTCCACGCATAAGAGGGAACATGTGGTACTTATCTTTCTGTGTCTGGCCTATTTCACTTAGCAGAATGTCCTGAAGTCACACTTTATTCCTCCTGAGAGGAGTGAATTCTAGATAAATTTCATGAGGACTGATTTATGAAGCCTCTCCTGGAGGGGATCTCTCAGCTGGTGGTCAGCTCTTCTGGAGCTGGTGATCTGCAACAGTCAGACCCATAGAACCAGGGGAAATGCTGTTCTTTGTTTTTCTTTCAGATAGCTTGGTTGGGTGAGGTTCCTGCTTTACCTGTTTTTGGAGATGGAACAAATGTAATTCCGGCAATTCATGTTCTTGACCTAGCAGGGTAAGCATTCTCCCGGAAAGGGGACTCTTCTAGATGGTTCGTGTATCAGTCTGTTAACTAATCTGTTCTGAGAACTCAGCAGTGTTGTCAAATTGATTCTTCACCACACCCTGGCAGAGGGGACTCTTACTATCTCCATTTGCATCTGGTGAGAATTATATCTAACTAAGAGGTCTACATGTCTAGATTTTTGTTTTGTTTTGTCTTATTTTGTTGTGATGCTAGGGGTGGAACCCAGGCCTTAGACATGCTCAGCAAGTGCTCCACCACTGAGCCACACCCTCGCCCTCAACGCTCCCCACTTTTTAGAATTTTTTTTTAAATATTGACTTTTTACTTATAGGTGGACACAGTGCCTTTACTTTGTTTTATGTGGTGCTGAGGATCAAATCCAGTGCCTCACTCATGCTAGGCGAGCACTCTGCCTCTGAGCACAACCCCAGCCCTAAGGCCCTGTACTTCCGATGACAGGTTCCGGTTCATCTCTTGGGAACTTTGTCGGCAGAGTGACCCTTCTGGAGAAGAAAGAACTTGTTCTGTACACTCTGGGAACAGAGTTTGCCTTTCCTTTGTCCAGATGAGATGGGGATGTCAGGCCCACCAAACTAAATTCCACACATCAGATGATGAACTGTCGACCTGAAGCTTTTTCTTTCTTTTTTTTTTTGCAACTGGAGGTAAAGTGCCAATTCAAAAGAACAACTCTGCCTTTAAGGAAATAACTCTGCCTTTAAGTTTATTCTGAGGTAAATGTGAATGACGATGGCCCAAGAACACTAACTCAAGATACCTATAAATCAATACATCAACAAACACACCGGTGGGCCCATTAGGCATGTGGGTCGCCAGGAGATTCTCCCTACAGGTAACAGGTATTACCTCACAGCACTCGGCTTTGGGGTGGAAGGAGGCTGGAGGTCGCTAGGCTTAGCGATACATTCCAAGAGGTTTACCTAATAGTCACGGGAATGTTAGGTCACACACAGAGGATAAAAGTAAATGGTTGTTTTTCTAAGGGGCCCACCATGGCCCAAGATGATGTCCACTCTTGATCAATGACAATCATCTCTCCACAGCCGCAGGGTTCCACACAGCAAAGGTTGGACAGTCTCCAAGGTTTCCAGTACACATGTGGCTTCTTCAGAGAACTTGGCTGACCTGTCTTTCCCATTCCCCGGGGCTCCCACCCTGCCACCCAGACAGGTCCTGAGACCTTCTCCTTAGAAGACCCTGCCTTCCAGGGTCCAGGGACCCACTCCCCCACCCCAGGCACGCTCCCAGGGAGGGAACAGTTTCTGCCCTTCAGAGAGGGGCTGGTTTCCGCCCTCCCCTCATCCACTGGCCACAGTCATTAGTCATGGTCCCAGAGAGATTTACCAGGAAGCAAGTGAAACTTAGACGTCACCGCCTTTCCCCTATGTGCGTGCCTTTCAAGGCCCTGAACCTCATTTTTATTATTGTTCTTAAAGAATTTCTTAAAGTACGAGTTTCAACTCCACCAAACCTCGATCTGCTCCAGCCTGCGTTAACTCTGGGAGCGAAGGAGCCAAACGCGCCCTGGCCTTTTGCAGATATGTGCATTGTGTAACAGGGTTCTCAAGATGTGGCTGAAAGGCTCTCTTACATTCTTAGGACAAAGTACTTAGCATCAGTCTACAACATCTTCTCCCAATAAATTAGTGAAAATGTTCTCATTATGGAACTTGGGGCCCTCTTCAGTAACACTGTTTTCTTCTTCCAAATTTCTCTGAAGATTGCCAAATACTTAACAGAAGATAAGAAGCTAAAAAAAATCTGATAAATTAAATATAAAACAAATGTAAAATGAACTGTTATTATTTCATTTAGATGTGTGCATTTTTCTTTCATTTTACTGAAGAGGAAGCTAAAATGAATGGGGTTGGGTAGACAGGCCCTTGTGATCGACTTCTATTAACCGTAGTTCTCTCCAGAATCCTTCAATCTGCCCAACCCCTGCTCTGCCTTCTCCAGAGCTCTGGGGATTGGAAGGTTTCTTCACTTGGATTTTCTCATTTATAAAATGGGGATGGTAATAGTGCCTGTCTAGTAAGGCTGTTGTGAGGATTCAGTGGCAGAGCACCTCGGCACAGTCCTGGCATAGAGTTAAGCACTCAGAAATGTTGACAGTCAATCATTCAGAGTAGGAGAGCTCAGGCTTGGTCACTGCAGCTAGGCGACTTCCTTGAGATACTGCTTCTCTGCATCAGTGTTTCACTTTGTCAGACAACAACTCCAAGCAGTCGGGAGGTTCGTGGGCAGGGGCTTCCTGACCTAACAGGATTAAGCCTTTTCGATGGGAGAGGTGCTGCAGACTAGGAGAAGCCCAGATCCAGCGCCAGGCGTTTCTGACTTTAAAGGCTGGCTCCACGGCTTTCCTCGTAGGTGGTCAGCCTGAGAAATGTCATCCTTGGGTGCAAGGATATCCTTGGATAATGATCCCAACCCCAACTTTGTTGGCGATTAAGAGAATTTTTTAACCCTCCAAATGTCATGTCTGGGGGTGGAGTTCAGTGAATTCTAGTTCAGTCTCTCCTCAACTTTTCCTCTCTTCTCTGTTGCTCTGCAGAGTGGTACAAAACGTAATAGACCACGTGCCAAAGCTCCATTACCTGGTGGCTGTGGACGAGTCCGTCCATACCCTGGAGGACTTTGTCAAGGTACAGTACTCAGAAGTGATTTGTTAAATAGGTTTACCCCTAAACAAATATTAGGAATTCGTTGTGCTAATAAGACTGAGGGCTCCTAAAATAGAATGTCCTTAAAACTAGAACTCTGTATTTGCAGTGTGTATGGGGAGTTACGACCCAAATGGCCTTCCTTCAGCCTACAAGGGGAACAGGAAGGACCGCATAGGGCTCTGGCTGAGGGGACAAACGTCACTACACCAAGGACACACGGATGACACAGTGGAGACACTGTTCTCACAGTATGGGTATGCCCAGGCTCACCAGCCCTCCTGGCCACCTCCAGGCCATGCTGGCTAATGCCACCACCTGGCAGCCTGGGGAGTGTGACCATCGCCCTGCCCCGACCAGCCTCCTCTCTCTGCGTTTGTAAGATTCGGCTCAGATCTCTTCCTCGGCACCCTCCCTGCTCCTGCAAAGCTCCCCCTCCAGCCAGAGGCCTCTCTTCCATGCTCCCAGAGCATCTTAGTCTGTCTGGGGTTATAACACAGCACTGCAGCTTGGCAGGCTTTGTCCCTCAGTCCTGGAGGCTGGGAAGTCCAAGATCAAAGCGCTGATAGATTTGGTGAGGACTCGCTGTCTGGCTTCATAGAGTCACCTTCTCCCTGTGTGCCCACGTGGTGGAAGGAGGCAGGGAGCTCTCTCTGGCCTCTTTTATCAGGGTACTAATCTCATTCATGAGCCTCCAACCTCATGAACCGATGGGCTCCCCAATCCCCACCTCCTAAATCCAACATCTCAGGTGTTAGGATTTCAGCATGTGAAGTCGGGGTAGTGGGGAGCACAGACTGTCAAGGACAAAATCATAACAAATTTAGTTACAGATGTAATTAGCTTTTATTCTCAATTCACGAAATCAGGAAAGCCTCCATTCTACAAAACAGAACAAGGGCTCCCACGGGGCTACGGAACAAGGAAACCAAATAGCAAGCAAAACGCTTATGGGTTAGCATCAGGTTAGTTTTTGTAAGGGTTAAAGCAGAGGGAATCTCCTTAATTAAGCTGACTCGGGTAAACAGGAATCTCCTGTTTGGGGGAAAAATAGTTCTGTTTGGGTCTATCTGCTTCCCTGTTTCAGCTTGATTGGGTGGCACTTAGCATGGGTCACTCCATTTTGGTTAGGTCTGGTCTGCTGGGGTCTTTGCTGCAGTTCAGTCTCTCAAACAGTGGGCTCTTGTGATTTTTGTTTAGTGAGATGGTAGCACAGAGCCTCCTTTGCTGAGCTGCAAGGGCCTTATCTGTGTCCGTCTCCCTTTTCAAACTGGGAGCTCCTCCAGGGCAGAGACTGGGCCTTACTCATCTCTATCTCCAATATATTTTCAGAATAAGTAACTAACTATGTACCCTCTATGCCCTACACTCTGTTTTGGAGTTTATAAATATTCAGTTCTGTTCACATTCATTTGAGAAGTTTTATATAAACTAAATAACATCTCTACTCTTCCCTAACAGTGCATCAGTAAACACACCGGCCCTGGAAAAACCCAGAAAGTACCCAAAGAAAATGCTTATCTAATCAAGGATTTAAAAGTTAGTATATAATAAATTCTTTAAAAAAAAAAAAAAAAAACAACCTGTTTTCTAGACCCTGCTGGTTCCTGAGGGTGGGTGGAGGCCTGTCTGCAAAAACATGTGTTCTAGGTGCTCTACTTAAAGCAGCTTCCTCTTCTAGCCTCAGTTTTCATTTGTGAAAACCCCTCAGAGGCCGTAGTCAGAGAAGGTGTGTGAACGCTTGATGTGTAAACTGCTACCCGAACACTGGTTGTGTTCACCTTGGCCTGTTTCTAAAATTCCATGAGCTGAGTGAGGTTCCAACCTTTCATCACATCACAGCAACAAATAGCTTGTCGTCAGGTGGTGAGCTCTTTAAGCTTGCTTTACGATGTAATCTGGGTTTTTGTTGTTGTTGTTGTTTGTTTGTTCCTTTCTTTTGTTTTCCCTAAGTACTGGGGTTTGAACCAGGATGCTCTACCACTGAGCTGCATACCAGCCCTGTTTATTTTGAGACAGGGTCTTACTGAATTGCTGAGGCTCACCTCAAACTTTCAATTCTCCTGCCTCAGCCTCCCGAGGAGCCTCCCACATGCTGAGGCCTACGTCGTGGCACCTGGCTCAAGCACCGTGTTTACATATAACTTATTTACTGTGAGAGTGATATTTTGCCAGGGCACGGTGGCACATGCCTGAAATCCCAGTTACACAGGAGGCTAAGTTAGGAGAATTCCAAGTCCCTGACCAGCCTCAGCAACCAGTAAGAACCTGTCTCAAAATAACAAATAAAAAAGACCAGGTGGGGCCTAGTACAGTGGCGCGCATACAATAATCCCAGCAGTTTGGGAGGCTGAGGCAAGAGGGTCATGAGTTCAAAGGCAGCCTCAGCAAAAAGTGAGGTGCTAAACAACTCAGTGAGACCCTGTCTCTAAATAAAATACAAAATAGTGCTGGAGATGTGGCTCAGTGGTCGAGTGCCCCTGAGTTCAATCCCTGTTACATTCTTCCACCAAAAAAGAAAAGAAAAAAAAAGAAAAAGAAAGACCTCGGTGGAAGAGTGCCCTGTTCAATCTTCAGTACCACCAAGATAGATAGACAGCTGTGGTGCTGTAAGAACTGATACCACTGGTGGCCTCTGAGGAGCAGAGCTGGGTGGGTGATGTTTGGGGAACAGAGGGATTGTTTTCTGTTATACTTATCATTCTTTTGAATTTTAAACCATGGGACTGCATTATTTGAAAAGTAGATGCTATTTAATTTTTTTTTTAAAAGCACTGGGTGGGATGTAGCTCTGTGAAAGAACATTTGTCTGAGACACACAAAGCCCTGAGCTTGCTCCCCAGTACTGCCCCCCGAATGATTTAAGGGGAGTGGAAGTGCTTCAGGGTTGAGCCTTCAGCTCAGTGTGGAGCACAGGCCTCACATGCCTGAGGGCCCGGGTTCCACCCCCGCAGCACATAAGATAAACAATAATCATATCCTGTTATCAATAATCATATCCCTGGCAGTACTCAGCTCTGGATGAACTGACTTCCTAATTAATGCATGCATTCTGTTTTTCTTCAAGAACCGTAGTGATTTGGATCTGTTATAACTGTCAATATGAAACAAAAAAGGTAAATTTCTAATTTTACTTTAACTCTTAGCAAGAGTGTCTTGATCATTTGCTGGTCAACCTAAAAATGGAAGCGCTCTTCGTGAAGGAGAATTTTAATATCCGATGGGTTGCCCAGACGGGATTTGTGGAAAATATCAACAATATCCTCAAAGAGTACAAGCAAAGCAGAGGATTATTGGTAACTATAATCATTTCTTATTTAAACTTCTGATTTCAGCAAAATAAAGGAAACTGACTTTGGATGCGATTATACCAATCAAAGTATCTTCTTTTTCAAATATCCAAACATCTAACTTCAAGTTGTTTTTTAAATTTGACAAATTTGTCCAGGTCTGACAATTTACATGCATGTTAGTTACATTAATATTGTCAATGGAACATTAAACATCTTAAAGTGAGCTTTGAAAGTAAGAGTTATGCAAATTGAGCATGATGGTGAGCTCAAGAATAATTGTGGCAAAATTGTCTATGCAAGGAAATGTACCCAGGTATCTTACTGGCTGGCCAGTTTCAGGGGAGGGTAGGTTGGACTTAGCAGAAGTCTATAAACTACTTTGATTTCTTTCTACTGGCCAGAGGATTCACTGGTTATTCAATACTCAGAATCTTTCAAGGTAGGTATTCTTCTTGAAAAATTAATTAACAAATAAAAATTATATATATGTATCATATACAGCCTGATGCTTCAAAATATGTATCCACTGTGAAATATGGAATGTGTAAATTAATTAATGTGCATTACTTGACATACTTAACCATTTTTTTGTGGTGAAAGATAGCTACACTAGATATTCTTTTTAGTTTTGATTTTTTTTTTTTGCAGGAGGGTACTAGGGATTGAACTCAGTGGCACTCAACCACTGAGCCACATCCCCAGCCCTTTGATTGGTTTTTTAAAATGTGTTTATTGGTGCATTATTAGTTATACATAATGGTAGGGTTCATTTTGACATGATCACACACACATGGAGTCCCCAGTACCTCCTGTTTCCTTTCCCTCCTCCCTTACCCTCCTCCCCTTCCTCTACTGGTCTTCCAGTTATTTATTTATTTATGCTTTATAAATATACATAAAGGTGGAATTCACTGTGATACTTTCATACACACACACACACACAGCGTAGTTTGGCCAATTTCATTCTGTAATTCCTCCCTTTCCTCATCCCTCCTCCTCTCCCCTTAGTCCCCTTCTCTACTCCACTGATCTCCCCTCTGTTTGGTGGAATCTGTCCTCCCTTTCCCCCCTTGTTTTGCTCCAGCTTCTGCATATGAGAGAAAACATTTGACCCTTGACTTTCTAGGTCTGGCTTATTTCACTCAGCGTGATGTTCTCCAGTTCCATCCATTTACCAGCAAATGTCATAAATTCATTCTTCTTTATGGCTGAGTAAAACTCCACTGTGTATTTATATCACATTTTTAAAAAAAATATTTATTTTTTAGTTAGAGTTGGACACAACACCTTTATTTTACTTATTTATTTTATGTGGTGCTGAGGTGGAACCCAGGGCCTCGCACCTGCCGGGCGACTGCTCTACCGCTGAGCCACACCCCAGCTTTCACATTTTCTTTATTCATTTATCTTTATTCATTTATCTGTTGTGCACCTGGTCTGGTTCCATAATTTGGTTTTTATTAATTGCACTGCTATAAACATTAAATGTTCCTGTGTCACTATAGTATATGTTGATTTTAGTTCTTTTGGACAAACACCAAGAAGTGGGGTAGCTGGGTCATATGGTGGTTCCATTCCTAGTCTTTTGAGGAATCTCCATTCTGCTTTCTGAAGTGGTTATATTAATTTGCAGTCCCACCAATAATGTATGGCTGTATCTTTTCCCCACGTCCTCTCCACCATTTTTTATTATCTGTGTTCTTGATGATTGCCATTCTAACTGGAGTGCAATGTAGTTTTGATTTGCATTTTCCTGACTACTGGGAACATTCTTTCACATTTTTGTTGGCCATTTGTTTTCTTCTTTTGAGAAATGTCTGTGTAGTTCTTTACCAGATTATTGTTTGGGTTATTTCATTTCTTGGGTGTTAAGTTTTTCGAGTTCTTTATATATTCTGGATATTAATTCTCTGCAAGAAGTAGCTGGCAAAGATCTTCTCCCAGACTGTAGGCTCTCTCTTTGGGCACTCATTTCCTTTGCTTACAGAAACTTTTTAATTTGCTGGCATCCCACTTTTTGGTTCTTGGTTGTATTTCTTGAGCTTTAGGAGTCTTGTTAAGGAAGCTGATGCCTGCACCAATTCATTGACCCTGGGTTTTCTTCTAGCAATTGCAAAGTTTCTGGTCTAATTCCTAATTCTTTAATCCATGTTGATTTGACTTTTGTACAAGGTGAGAGAGGGATCTAGTTTCATTCTTCTACCTATGGATATCCGGTTTTCCCAGCACCATTTGTTAAAAAAGCTGTCTTTTCTCCAATATATATTTTTGGCACGTTTGTCGAATGTCAGATGACTGTCACTATGTGGATTTGTGTCTGTGTCTTCTCTTCTATTCCATTGGTCTTTGTGTCTCTTGTGTTACTAGAGCTCTGTAGATGATTGAGGTCAGGTGTCGTGATGTCTCCCGTGTCCCTCCTCCTGCTCAGGACTGCTTTGGCTATTCTTGGTCTTTCATTCTTCCACCTGAATTTTAAGACTGTTTTTGTTGTTGTTGTTGTTTTTGTTCTAGTTCTGTGAAGGATGTCATTGGTACTTTGTGGGGAGTGCATTGAATATGTATATTGCTTTTGGTAATGTGTCCATTTTAACAATATTAATTCTGTCTATCCAAGAACATGGGGGGAGGGGTCTTTCCATCTTCTAAGGTCTTCTTTAATTTATTTCTGTAGTATTCTAGTTTTCATTATAGAAGTATTTCACCTCCTTTGTTAGATTTATCCCCAAGTGAGGTTTTTTGAGGTTATTGTGAATGGGATATTTTTCTTGATTTCTTTCCCAGAAGATTCATTATTGGAATATAGGAAAGTTATTGATTTACCAGTGTTGATCTTGTGTCCTGCTATTTTGTGAATTCATCAGCTCTAGAAGTTTTTTTGTTTTTTTTTTTTCCCCACATAATCAATGTTTTAAGGTAGTTTTTTGTTTTTGTGATGCTGGGAACCAAACTCAGAGCCTCATGTTCAGATAGGTACTCTTATCTCTACATTATAGATGAGGAAACTGGGGTTCAGAGAGATGAAGCAACTTCTTCAAGGTCACACAACTACTCAGGGATTCAAACTTAGGATGCAGACTTAGTAAGAATCGTCTCATTTCACCACAGTGCCTCTACACCTCCTGCTCTGAAGTCAGATAAATGCAGCACCTGCCCAAATCATTGGGCTAATCCCAGGAAAGTGTTCTAAAGATGAAAGTAGGTCATTCGTAAGAAAATGCTTTGAAACTGTAAAATAGCCTGTGAGTAAAAAGTGTCACCATTATCACAATTACTGTTCATGGAAAGCTGCAGCTAAGCAAGCGCAGTGTTCCCATGGTACTCCACAGGGCATGGTAGCTTGTGCTGCTGGTGTCATTTGGGAGGCTGAGGCAGGAGGATCATTTGAACCCAAGGGTTTGGGGCCAGGTTGAGCTGCAAAGCAGGACCCTGTCTCTTAAAAAAAAAAAAAAAAAAAACTTAGCAGAAGAAATAATGATCCCTGTAAAGTATCTGCATTCCCTGATGGGGAGATAATCCTGAGGCAGTGCACAGCCAGCCCTAGGTGTTAGACAGTGTTTTCCTCTGGAGGTCAATTGTAAAACAGCAGCACAAGCTTAGAGAGATGACAAGACACTTTAAAGAGACCATATGGTTTCTGATTAGCAAGACTGCACAGAACATGATAGAAGGAATAGTGTATCTAAAAACTAAACAGAGGGCTGGTGGTGGGTAGAGCTCTTGCCTAGCATCCTCAAGGCCCTGGTTTCCACCTCCAGCACCTCAAATTAAAAAAAAAAAAAAAAAAAAAAAAAAAAAAACTAGACAAAGTCTATCCATCCCTGGGCACTGGCTAGCAGCATAGAATAGGAAGCTGCCAGGCCCGGCATAGGAAGCATTCTGCCAGCAGCATCCCATGCCTCCATCCAGGATGGGGTCTCGAGCCATACCCTCCCATGACCCCAGCTCCTCTAGCAAGGCTGGGTGACCACTGCTGCAGAGACACACAGAGGAAGCCACTCAACAGGCAGCTCATCCCACTCCCCTTGTTCTGATCAATGTTCAGCAAGCAAACCTGACTTGGCTGCCATGCTTATGTGCTCTAGGGGAGGAAAGTGCCAGACCTGTGGACTTGGAGCATTCCGAGTTCTGTGGCAGCCATGCTTCTCCTTATAAGTAGATGAGTGACCAGCTGCAGAAGCTAGAGGGAAATAAAGGAAAGGGGCGGAGGCCTAGTATATAGTGAAGGTAAAGGGAAGAGCAGTAATAGAGGAGGAGGAGACGGAGAGGGGAGCAGCGGGTGGGGAAGGGGAGGCAATGAGGATGGATTCTTTAAGAACGTATTATATGCATACACAAATATGCCACGGGGATTTTACCTTTATGCATAAATAAAAGGAATTGATCAGATATAAATAAATGATGAACAAGCACATGGAAGTGTAGTAGAGAAAGGAGAACGGGGGAGGGGAGGGAAGGAAAATGGGGAGGGAAAAGGAGGGATAGTGACTGAAATCTCATCCCATGCGGGTCTGAGTCTGTCCGGAAAAACCCAGCTACTGTGTGTAACTATAAAGCTCTAATAAAAAATCAAATAAAGACAACATCTTATATGCTGTCAGTATTAAAACAGTGAAAATTCGTTTGTTATTAAAAAGAAGTTAGATGTAATAATTAGGGATTTGTACCTATAGCATTTACCAATTTATAAAATCAGATATTAAAATCACAATTATATATAAAAAGTGAGTGAATTGCTTCCTGTTTCATACCTGGCTGGATAAGGTGAGCCCACCCAAGGGACAGGATCCATCCTGTGTACATGGTCAGTGAGGCATATAAACCTGCCCAGCTGACAACTGGGCCTCAGGCCTTGGCAACTGCACCGAGACCATCCAGGGGCCCAGTCTTGCCCTCAGGACTGACTCTGGCGTTGCCTCCTCTACTCCTGCCTCCCTCCTGCCTGCCGTCTTGGTGAAATCTGTCGTCACTGAGCACACAGATATCCCACCCATGGAAATTCTTTTCATGGGCATGATTTTAAAATTTACCTTGCAAACACTGGGCCTCAGTTTCACAACTATTTGGACTATTTTGAAAGAAGTGACTACTTACTACTGATATTTTTATTTCTGTTAGAAGTAAACGTTTACTCACTTACGAATGCCACAGAGCTTCTATAGCATTCAAGCAAGTTTTTCAGTAGAATAAATGGTGTTTTATTTTAATAAGTGTATTTTTAAAAATCAGAGTAGAGAACTGTGTTATAAATAAAAACAAGTAATATTCAGGCAATAAAGCAGGCCCCTTGTGCACTGGACTGGAGATTCTTGTGGGATCACTTTGCTGTGGTTGTGCTCCTGACAGTGGCGCATACAGATGAGACGGGTAGCACCCGATGCCTAAGCACTTACTGTTTAGTCCTTTTGGGATGTTCCTGGGGGAATCTTGCGAGTGTCATCCCCCAGGCCCAGGTCGGTACATTTGTAAATGCTATTAAATCCCTGCTGAAGGAATGAACCTGAACCAGGACGTGAACCCTTCAGGCGCTTTCAGGATGACACAACATGACCATGATGGCAGGGTCTGGAGGCAGAGGCTCTGGAGTCTCTATGGAGGAAGGAGCCTCAGCTGCAGGGTCCTGAGACTGAAGAAGGCACATCCCTGAATGTGTAGCCCCAGATCATTCAGACTCACTATATGTTCTCTGTTCTCCTTTTTCAGCCAATCAAGATTTGTATCCTTGGTCCTCCTGCCGTGGGAAAATCCAGTATTGCTGAAGAGCTGGCCAAGCATTACAAACTACATCACATCAAAATAAAGGATGTGATTTCCGAAGCCATAGCAAAACTGGTAACATGCTAAACTACTTTATTGGGGATTTTTAAGTTTAAAAGATGCTTTCCTGAGTGCTGTAATATGCTAGCAACTAATTTTACCTGTCAAAGAGATTTGTTCTTCTATTTGGATTTTGGTTTTGGCCCCGGTTATGAAAACCCAGACTCCCGTGGGGCTTTCCTCAGTGAAACAGAAGCATCTTTCATGGATTGTCCTTGAAATTTAGTCGGCCTCCCGCTCTTGCTCAAAGTGTATCTTGTCTGCTCTCTGCTGACTGGAATACTATTAAGCTTTTTGTTTTTTGCTTTTCATTCTTGCAGTATGTTTCTCAGGGTGTTATCAGAACCCTGACTGCTTTTCATCGTTTTATTGGAAATGGTAGCTACTGAGAAAATTTTCCAGAAGTGATTTCTAAAATTCCTTTTTTCTTCATCTGGTGCTGGATGTTGAACCCAAGTCCTCGCTCCACTGATTTACGCCCCAGCCTAAAGTCTTGATTTCTACAAAATATGTTTCCTTCAAGTAAGATACAACCAAATACCTTAGAAAGGACTTGACTCTTAGGCAATTTTGGCATTAGCACAGAAATACATTCTCCTAAAAGCAGAGTAGGAAAGACCTTGAGTCTCCCATACATTGCTGTAGACAAACATATTCGACAAACCTTTGCACGGTCACTGACTACATTCCTGATTTGGGCACTAGCCATTCTCCAGGATCACTGGGCAATTGATTTGTGAGGAGCAAAGCAAAGCAGAGCACTGTCCAATTTGAACATCCCTGTGGTCTGCAGGAGGCGATTGTTGCACCTAAGGAGGTAGGGGATGGAGAAGACGAGGGCGAGGAGGAAGAGGAGGAGGAGAACGTGGAGGATGCTCAGGAGCTCTTGGATGGCATCAAGGAAAGCATGGAGCAGAACGCAGGTGAGGCCGCAGCACACAGCTTGCCAATGGTGACTGCTTTTCACATCTGGTTTTAAAAGACTACCTGTTTGCTTCTGAAAGTGAAGCACTCCAGAAGTTATGGTAACAACAAAGAAAATTCATTTCTAATCTCACCCCCCAGGGAGAAAAACGTCATTGTCAATACTTTGGTGACTGTCTGAAAATAGGATGGGAAAGAACTTTCTAAGTTAAAAAAAAAATCATAAACTAGTGGGCAGCTCAGTGGTAGAGCACTTACCTAAGAGATGCTGGGCCCCGATTTGGTTCTCATCACTACACACACAATTCAAATGTATGTTCATATAAATTTTATAGGTACCAAACATCATTAATCAAAAAGCAAAGGACAAACCAAGAAAACAAATAATTGCGACCAATAAAATAATTAATTTTATTAATATATAAAATACCAGGCTGGGGTTGTGGCTCAGTGGTAGAGCACTTGCCTAGCATGTATGAGGCACTGGGTTCAATTCTCAGCACTGCCTATAAATAAATAAAATAAAGGTCCATTGACAACTAAGAAAAATATTTTTTAAAAAATTTATAAAATACTCAGGCAAACTAATAGAAAAATCTTTAAATTCTGCTGGGCACTGTGGCACATGTCTGTAATTCCAGCAACTCAGGAGACAGACTGAGGCAGGAAGACTGCAGGTTGAGGACAGCCTTGGCAACTTAGGGAGACCCTGTCTAAAATCAAAACTAAAAACTGTTGGGGATGTAGCTCAGAGGTGGAGTACTAGCTTAGGCCCCATGAAGCCCGGGGCTCAGCCCCAATACTACCACCAGAAAAAGAAAAAAAAAAACCCCATTAAACTCAATAAGAAAAATGGATGAATAACATGAACCAATAATTCATGTAGGAAGAAATAAAGTTTTCTTATTCACTTGATAATTAGTTATTAACCAGTTTATTGAACCAACTAATCACAGTAAGGTGTTTTATTTCTTTGTTTATTTTTATTTATTGCTAGGGGGTGATGCTGAAGGGAAATCGAAGAACGAGAGTCGGGTAAATGAGAAATGAAAGATGGAGACCAGGCAGAGGTTCACAAGAGAGTTTATTTGTCAGAGTTGACAAATAAAGGCCATCTCTCTAAATCTGAGAGAGGCAAAACAGGCTTGGGTTCCCAGACTTTTATGGGGCAGGCTCAGGAATAAGAGCCTTGTGGGTCCTAATGAAGGTAGTTAGGGGTTGGGTTGGTATGAGGGAGTGGTGAGCCTTTCTCAGAAATGCCCTTGCAGTAGAATAGAATAGACAATATGATTGATGTATGTACATTCCATGTATGTATTATATATCAAAATGCATTCTACTGTCATGTATGACTAAAAAAAATAAATTAAAAAAATTAAAAAAAAAAAAAAAAAGAAATGCCCTTGGATAGAAAAGCAAAACTTTTTCCTTAAAATGGCAGCTGTCACTTAAGATGGCCATCCAGATGCTAAGCAAGAACTTTACAGGGGCGGTTTCTGGGTATCAAATCCAGGGCCCCCAGCATGCCACATGCTAGGCAAGCACTCTACCACTGAGGCACATTTCCAGACCAGAGGGTTTCTGTTTAAACTCAAACTCTGGATTCATTCTTTCCCCACCCTTGGCTGGAATTCCAAGCCTGTCCTCTTGCAACTCTCAGATAAGAAGCCAGTAACACCTGTGTTTACTCCTGCTCTAAATCCTTGACAATCAAATTTTCACAAACTGGATTTTGAACTGAGTTATCTCTAGGGGATCTTGCTACCCAGCAGGAAAGCAGAAAACCTTTTCATTTTTATACTCAGACGATTGAGACCTTCCTTCTAGCCATCACTGTAGAGTGTCTGGAGAGTGTCCAGGAGGTACGACTGGTGGGGGCTGGTGGGGCGTCTAATCAGAGCTCCCGCCCTCCTCTCCACCACCTTTGTTTTCTTTCCTCTCCCTACTTCGCCCCTCTTACTGGTGGCTGTTTCTGATCCTCCAGGGTTGATCTAGGGCCGCGGAGCCTGGGGGAGGTGGGGGGATACAACAGAGGCATCTGTGGCCACTCAGGTGGGAGCCATGCTGGGTAATGGCGCTTCATGTTCCTTCCTGCATCAGAATCCAGCCGTGTTGGGTTCTGCTGAGTCTGCACTGGTACCCATCCACTGCATGCCCTGGGGCACAGGACCTGACTGCCCTCCACGGCCATCCAGAGATGTCCTCTGGCTCCCAACCTTTGTCCCAAGGTGCTCCTCTTTCCAGCCCAGCTCCCCCTTGGCTGGGGACCCAGTTTCCCTGTCCTGACTTCATAGCATGCCCTAGTGTCAGTATTGCCACCTCCCTTGTGGGATGTGTGACAGTGCAGGGTATTCAGCCAGCCTGAGCACGGTCCCCTCTTATCCCTGACTCTTCCTCCTTAGTTTGTTGTGCCCCCTTCCACTTTAAAGTCGCTAGTCTCTCCCTGCCTTGCTCTGAGCTCAGGTCCCCTGTACTTCTCCTCTTCTCCCAGGCTGGTTCCATCTGGTAGAGAAAGTGGTTTTGGATGCTGATCCTGAGCAACCACTTAAGCCAGCTGCCTGTCTGAGTCAGCTTCTGCTCTAGCATGGCTGGTTCTGGAGGAAATGGGATTCAAATTCCAGGAAAAGTTCCCAGAGGAAAGCAAAGGAACACAGAAAACACAGATTAATACTTAAGACACAGCATTGCCTCTGGCTTGCCACAAGGCATTTGGGAGGCGATACTCTAGTTTTAGAGCTCAAGAGTTCTGGCATTCACCTTTTGGGGGAGGGGGAAAGCCCTCAAGATAAGACATTCCACAGTGAGAACATGGTGGAAGGAGATCTGGCTGGCAAGGTCATGTTGAGGGGTGGAGGGTGGAATTCTTAGTAACGAACAGGTGTATGTGGCCTTGTATACGCAAACCTTATGGCTGCGTGGAAGGCCACAGACAGGGCGTGGGAGCAGTGATCTATGCCACCCCAGACTAATATTCAGGCTGACAGGACAGCCGACTGTTACTTATTGACAGAGACTTCATAATTGGTCTTTGCAAGGACTCAAAGACACTATCCACATACTTAGCGAAACACAATAGTACAAAATACCAGCTGAGCTTTCTTCACACCCAGGACAGACGTTATAGGACAGATGTTATTGGAGATAGTGCAGTAGCCAAGTCCCCAAGCTCAAGAAGGACCTGTTCCTGTCAGGAGACACCGTTCTTCCCCAGCTGCCAGAGAGGCCAAAGAGGCTAGCAGCCTCCGGCAAGAGATGCAGGAGTGATTGGGAGCAGGGAAGTGGCCTTTGGAGAGGGCAGTGTGTAGAACGGCAAGCCACTGCCCTTCCCACGTGGCACCCAATGCCAACCACTTCCTATGAGATGGGAATAGTTCATCCAGCCCTCTTAACTTTAGGGAGATTTCTTTCCTCAAGGTTGTCCAAAAATCCTTCCTATTCATGTTTACCTGAAGCCAGGTCGTAGACCTTGATTATGTTTGAACAAAACAAGACCTTTGAACCCACCGCAGGGACATGAGGCGAGCTCACTTTCCCCTCACATGACCCTTTGTCCTGTGGTTCCAAGGATCCTAGCGGTGTGATGTCACAGTCCTGCAGCCAGGCCCCTGGGCCCCTGGCAGAACTCCATGCCTGCTGTCCCCAACAATGCAGCCAAAATGGGAACCAAAGTCCCTAAAGCACAGAGTGTGTTAGTTCTGGATTCTTTGTGTTCATCTCATCTATTTCAAAATGTGTGGGGTTATTAAGTCTAGGTAGTGGGATTTCCCGTGAGTTTGAAATAAAAAGGGAAAATCATTTGTAATTGTACAGCTTTGTAAATCTATTCTGTGCATAGATAATTGGAAAACCTTGGCCTATAGCTCTCTTTAAATCCTGTTTTGAAAATTATGAATATGCATTAATATTTTAAATATTAGTGGTATTTAAAAGAAAAAAAGCAGGTTGACATTTTAAAAGTTCCAGTAGGTCTGTACTCGTTCATTTCAAAGCAAAGAGTGGTCCAGCCACCATGGAAAACATCATAGAGGTTCCTAAAGAAATGGAAAATAGAACCACCATTAGACCTAGCGATCGCTCTTCTGGGCATGTAACAAAAAGATCTGAACTCACCAGCAAACCTGGCAGCTCTGGTCACGAAAGCAGGATATGGGAGCAAACTCAGTGTCCATCTACAGCTGGATGGATAAAGAAAATGTGTTATATACATACATACATGCGCACGCCCCCCCCCCCCACACACACACCAGAATATTTTTCAGTCTTTGAAAAGGAGGAGATCCTGCCATTTGTCTTAACACGGATAGAACTGGAGGGCGTTAGGTCAAGAGAAATAAGCTCTGAAAAAAAAAAAAAACTTGCACATGGTATCACTTATTTGTGAAGTTTATTTTTAAAAGAGATCTAATTACAGGTTTAGAGGAACAAACAGTGTAACCACTGGTGAAGATTAGGGTGGGGTGGGGATGGGGAGACATAGGTCAAGTGAAACAAAATCACAGTCTAGAGGTGGAAGGTGCCGCAGCACAAGGACTCCAGGGAATGGCAGTGTGTTCTAGCAGGGATCTTTGTTGAGTAGCGTTTTAGCAGCCCTATCACAGGAAAGTAACCAGAAGATACACAGCAAGTCTGCTTCACTGTAGTAACCATCTTATTATCTATATGTATCCCCTAGCAACACAGTTAAACCTCAGATATGCACATTAAAATTTATTTAAAATTAAAAATAAAGCAGACGGGAGAGATCACCTGCCTTGTAGCTCAACACTAGCCTAGGGAGGTGCTAGTTTTCTAGAATAAGGCCCTTGGGCTTGGCCCACCCAGTCATGCCTCTAAAACATTCCATAATTACCAAAAACTACGTAAGAGGCCCCTTGTTGTTTACTGAACACACTTTCCTTCTGAATCAAGCAGAAATGAATGGTAAAGCCCAGTGACTTAAATAAATAAGGGAGTTCTTGAAACGGACCTCAGCTAGATTTCTGATTATGTGTCCTTATCATAATGATGCAAGTTTTGAAAACTGAGACTAGATTGCTTAAATAAAGCTGGTCTTTGAATGTTAGTGAATCCCTCGATATTCTTAACAATGGTTTTATTTCTTTGTACCACTGCAGCCTTACTAAGAAGTAATGTAAACCCATTTGGAGGAATTTCATTATGTTAAATAACACCTTTAATCATTATTTTATCTTGGTCATAACACTTAAATTTCTGAAAGACACAATTATTTCCTGAATCCTTTACCATGTAATGATCTGTGTGACATTGAAAAGTAGAAGAAAGAAGAGATGTTTTAATTAGATCATTTTATTGTCACTAGTAGGATATCAAAAGAGGCTAAAAGCTATTTTATATAAGCAACTCCCTGATAAACTAAAAGCATTAGAAGGAACCGTGGAGATCTAACCTCGGGCTTGGCAAACTTGCGTTACTGTTAGACACGCTGTTAAGCAGTTGAAGGACTGGCAGCTGCTCAGATAACATGCTGTCCTGTAACCACTGTGCCTTTTTAGAGCAGACTCCTCCCTCCTCAGGTCCACCTCCCAGCTTCCAGGAACCCTGCATCCAGGGCTTGAGAGGGACCTGTGCACTGGGCCAAGTCAAAAATGCCAGGCACAGAGGAAGTGAGGTGGGGGCACAGCCTTTTCTGCAGCTCTAAAGAGAACAGTGCCTTTGAAAGTTGGGTCAAATTTAATTATCATTCAAATCTAGCAAATATTTCCTGAGCAGTGTGTGTGGGGGTGGGGTGGGGGGGCGCACGTGCACTAGAGACTGAACCCAGGTCCTCATGCATGCCAAGCACAAACTCTGCTACTGAGATTTAGTTCCAGCCCAAGCACCTACTTTTATTTTTTTTTTCTTTCCACATTTTTTATTGGTGCCTTATGGTTGTACATAATTACTTATTGTAACACATTCATACATGCACACAATATAACAAGATAACTTGGCCAATATCATTCCCCAGCACTTCCCCCCCCCCCACCCCGTCCCTTCCTCTCACCCCGTAACCCCTTTCCTCTGCTGATCTCCCTTTGATTTTTAGGAGGTCCCTGCCTCCCCTACCTTTCCTTTCCTTTGTCCTCTCCAGTTTCCACATAGAGAAAACATGACCCTTGACCTTCTGAGTTTGGCTCATTTCTAACATAAAGGTCTCAAGTTCCATCCATTTTCCCGCAATTGACATAATTTCATTTTTCTTTTTGTCTGAATAAAACTCCATTGTGTATACATACATTTCCTTTATCCATTCATCCATTGATGGACCCCTGGGCTGGTTCCGTCGTTTAGCTTTTGTGATGGGTGCTGCTGTAAACATGGGGATGTGTGTATCCCTGCAGTAACGTGACTTTGATTCTTTAGGATAAATACTGAGGAGTGGTACAGGTAGGTCACAGGGTGGTTCCGTGCCTGGCCTTTAGAGGAACTTCCATACTGATTTCCTTAATGGTTATACTAATGTATAATCCCACCAATAGTGTAAAAGCGTTCCTTTTTACCCACATGCTCTCCAGCGTTTATTATTGTTTGTATTCTTGATGACTGTTATTCTCACTGATGTGAGATGACATCTCAGTGTAATTTTGATTTGCATTTCCCTAATTGCTAATGATGTTGAACATTTTTTCATATATTTGTTGGCCATTGTATTTCTTCTTTAGAGAAGTGTCTATTTAATTCATTTTCCAATTTATTAATTGGATCAGATTTTTGGAGTGTAAATTTTGTGAGTTCTTTACATGTTCTAGATATTAATGCTCTGTCGGAGGAGTAGCTAGCAAAGATAATCTCCCGTTTTATAGATTCTCTCTTTACATTCCTATTGTCTCCTTTGCCAAGCACCTACTTTTTGTGGGGTTTTTTTTTTTTTTTTTGTACCAGGGATTGAACCCAGGAGTCCTTGACTACTGAGTAACATCCCCACATCCCCAAGCATTTTTGAGACAGGGTCTTTCAAGTCACTTAGGACCTCGCTAAGTTGCTGAGGCTGGCCTTGAACTCAGGATCCTCTTGCCTCAGCCTCCTGAGCTGCTGGGATTACAGGTGTGCACCACCACACCTAGAGACAAGCACCTACTTTTAATAAATCATGTGCTAGCAACATAAATGAACACTATCTCACTTCATTCTCACAACAGAAGCATTTATTATTGCATATTAGGGTTACACAAGTGTAATATTGAGTTAAAATTGGGAGAGCTGGACTCAGAGGCACATGCCTGTAGTTCTAGATGAGGTCAAGGCAGGAGTCTCGCTCTAGCTCAGGAGTTTGAGACCAGCTTGTTCAAGACTATGAGACCCCATCTCAACAAAAAAGTCTGTTTTAAAAAAAAAAAAAAACACCAGAACTGAGTAAAACTCCGAGTCTTATTCGGCTCCACCTAAAGTTGTGATTGCAAGACAGTTTTCAACGCAGGCATGGACGTTTGCTTCTGTCCCTCTTACAGACAGCTCACTGCTCCATTCATCTATCAAAACCACGTAACTTTTACTTTAAAAGGATCCCTATCACCCTTTTAACCACACAGTTCTTGAGGTAGTTTAGAACCTCATTCCCATGTAGACCGTGCTCCCCAGTAACATATTTTTTCTTTTTATCAGGTCGACTGGAAGATCAATATGTAATTAGATTTGTCAAAGAAAAGCTAAAATCTATGCCTTGTAGGAATCAAGGATACATTTTGGATGGATATCCAAAGACCTATGATCAAGCAAAAGATCTGTTCAATCGTAAGTTTTGAGTGTTTCCTATGTTTTGTGTATTTATATTCAGATAAATTGTAACCCTATTGTTCACTCAATTAAATAAAGAAATATGGAGAGACTTTTAAATTTGAATCTTGGCTCACCTTTTATTAGGTACATAGCTTTGTTTGTTGGTTAGTTTATTGATACTGTGGATTGAACCCAGGGGCATACTATGACTGAGTCACATCCCCAGATCTTTTTTTTTAATTCTGAGATGAGATCTGGCTAAATTGATCATGCTGGCCTGTGGTCCTTCTGCCTCAGCCTCCTGATTAGCTGAGATAATACCTCCCAGGTAGCTAGCTGGGATTATAGGTGTGCACCACTGCACCCAGCCACAGTGAATTTTTTTTTTTTAAACAGGATCTTGCTAAATTGCTAAGGGCCTCACTAAGTTGTTGAGGTTGGCTTTGAACTTGCAATCTTCCTGCCATAGGCTCCTGAATTGCTGGGATTACAGGTATCCACGGTACCCAGCCATAATAAGAAATTTTAGTGAATCATCATATTGTAGGTTTATGTGTTGATTTTTTCCTCATTTTATATTCATTGTAGAAGTTTTTTTAAAAAAGTAGAATAATATAGGAAGAAAATTAAATACGTGGGCAGAAGTCTAATGTGTTCGGTAATGGAAGGAGGACCTTTGCCTTCTTGGGGTTGGTAGTGGTCTGGTGTACAGTTCCAGGAAACAAGCAAAACAATCCGTGTTATTCTGAGGCTTATGTTCCCCGTTGTCCAGTATTAAATGTATGTTTTTGTCTTTGTTAGAAACAGATAAGCAATACAAAGATTCCTTGTTTTTATTCCTTGTTTTTATTTAATGTCTAGGGTCTTTATTTTTATTCCTTGTTTTTATTTAATGTCTAGGGTCTTGTAGTTGTTGTTTTGGTGCTAGGGGTTGAGCCCAAGGGCACTCTCCTACTGATCCACACCTCCAGCCCTTCTTAGTTTTTATTTTGAGACAGGGTCTTGCTAGGTTGTCAGGCTGTCTGTCCTCTAACTTGCAATCTTCCCGTCTCAGCCTTCTGAGTCACTTGGATTACAGACCGGCACCACCACATCCAGTTAGATGCATAGCTTTTAACTTTTTAAAAGTTTTTATTTCATTGTAGCATAAACACTTAACATGAGATCTACCTTCTTAATACATTCTTAAGTGCACAGTGCGTTATTGGTGACTCTTTGTCCTATGTTGTTCAGCAGATCTCTAAAGCTTATTTATCTAGCTGGACTAAAATTTGTCTCCATTGATTGCTAATTCTCCTTCCCCACCTCCGAAGCCCAGCACAGCCCCCATTCCATGAATTTGACCATTTAAGATCCCTCATGTAAGTAGAATCCCACAGGACTTTTTCTGTGACTGGCCCACTTCACTTAGCCTAATGTCCTTAAGGTTCGTCCACACTGCAGAAGTTTTTTTTTTTTTCAAGGCTGAATAGCATTCCACTCTTTGTATGAACTACACTTTCTGTATCCATTCATCTATCAATTGATGTTTAGGTTGCAAGACTATTTCTGAACTACGTTGTCTATTGATGACTAGTTTTCATTAGTGTTTGTGAATTAAGATAGGATATTTAAGTTCTTGCTATGACCCTTAGTAATATGTTAATAAATGTTACTTCATATATTTTGTTCTATTAGAGGAAGATGAGGAGGAGGAGGAAGAAGTCAAAGGCAAAATGCTTCCCTTTGATAAATTAATTATACCTGGTAAGTTTAAGATATTTCTCCAAGATCACATTTAAATGAATGGTATTCAACATCTCGTGTGCCAAAACAATCTTTTTGAGTTTAATAAAATAGATCTATTTTTAGGAAAAAATTAAAAGATGCACACAAGCACAAACTTGGAAAGGAGAGAGTGTACCAGGGGTAAATATCAGAGATACTGAAGTTCTGAAATAGAGAGCAGTCCCTTGGAGAGCAGTCCTGCTGCTCTCCCCTGTGACCAAGGACCCGGTAGCCAGTAGCTGTCCTGGTGAAGGTGTGGAACTGAGTCACCTGGGAAGCCCACAGGGGCCTGGGCTACCACAGCCCCTTCCCTCCTGTTTCTGGCGCCATTATGCCTTTATTTCCAGAGGACCCTGTGACCCTGAGTGGAGACGGTCAGGTGAGAGCCTTCCTGTTGGCCACTGACTTAAGGCGCAGCACTTCAATCCACGGTGTCTGGACACAGATGTCTCACAGCGCACTGGAGATGGAAGCATAAACCACTTGTCCACCACAACAGGATTTGTGGAGCATGGGCAGGCACTCTGTGACCCTTTAAAAAGTTTTATGGTCACTTTTGGATAGTTCGCATGACGTGAATCATAGGGAGTCATTTTGAGTCGTGTGATCAATAAAAGCAGCTATTTTCAGCAACTTCAAGGTTGTAACTGAAAGGGCCTGCTAGCGGGCACCAAAGGGGTACAGTTGATAGCTGTAGTAATCTCTTCCCCTTGGTCTAGGCACAGCTGGCAGAGAAGCTTCTGGAAGCTCTGAGATCACCAGAAAGCAGTTATCCTCAGGGATGGATATTTATTGTCTGTCTGTGGGCTCTGCACCAATGGCAGAAACCCAAAATGCCAAAAGGAGGGGTTGTCTCAGATATGTCATTAATTTAAGTATACACTTTGGGAAAAGTTAGAGAGTAAAATTGATATTTTTTGAATAACTAGAACTATCCTATTTATGAGACTTTAACACTTCTGGGTAATATTCATTAATTTATTGCAAACTCCATAGTAAATTATAATGCTCTTGCTGAGGTAATTGGATAAAATTCAGCTTGATTAACAGCTTCTCATGTGCCAGGTACCGCGTGAGATCTGAGCTGGGGAACCTTTTCACAGTGCCATGTGGAGGAATGACACCCCGGTTTACCAGATCCAAAAGCCAAACCCCAGTTTACCTTTCTGAAAAAGGGAAGGGTTTCCATTCAAACTTGGTCTAGGCTGCATGGAACCTTTTTTTGGGTTTCTATGGGAAAGCAAGGCAGATGAAAGGAAGCTCAGGGTTGGCTAGTTGGGGCGCAGAGGTGGTCTTTACTTGCCTGGCCCTGAGATGATTTGGGGCAGGGCAGAGACTGGTGTGGTATGAGAGTTGGGTCAAGTGGTGATGGCTTACTGAGAGGGGGTTGCTCTCAAGTAAACCCATCTAGGGGTGCTGGCTCATTGTCTTCGTTCAGCAAAGAATTGAAGAGCAGGACACAGAGATAGCAGGCAAGCAGTAGGTTTATTGCAAAAGTGGTGACAGACTTCTCTATGGAAAAGGGGCCCCAGAGCTGGGAGTCTGGTGGGGAATTTTGGCCTGTTCTTTTTACGGTCTCTGAAATTTCCTCCTTTCCTTATCTCCTCCTCTGTCCACACTCTCATCAATATTACTGACTGGTGTCCCCTCTGTCCACACATCTGTGTTAGTTTTTCCATTGGATCCCCCACTTAGGAGCATGAGTATGGAAGTGTCTGTCTGATTGGGTCCCCTGGTTGTGTCCACGAGCACTTTTGTCAATCAGGAAGTTGACCTCTTTGGAAGGCCCTCTCCGTGCTCCTTTGTCCTGGCCCTGCCCCGACCTCCTCACTGCCGTCTTTCCTGGCTGCCTGCGCCCTTCTAGATGCCCCCCAATAAGTTGCCTGTCTTTGGAAACTCACAACTAGCTAGCTCTGGGAGCGGGGGAATCTCTAGACCGGAGGCCCCCCAAGACATCAAAACATCATAAGACATAGAAAAATTTAAAAATGGTTAATACAGCATCCATGCTTCACGTCAGTGATGAAGCCTTTGACTGTACAACATCAGTTCTGGACGCATTCTCTCCCCGGGATCAGTCCGTGGATTTCCCCACTGCCGTGAGCTCAGGTCCAGTTTCATTCCCAGCCAGTTTAAGACAGTAGGTGCTCTGAATAATTGTCTTGAGATATTGCAAAATCCTGAAGTTCTCTCTGAATCATAAAGACCTGTGATTGTGTACATGTTCAAATATGTAACAACAAATCTCATCATTATGTACAACTATAATGCAAGAATAAAAAAATGTGGAAAAAAGGAACTTTGAAAAAAATCACCTACTGGTAAGTATATTTTATGACAGTAAAGTCCTTTGAAAATTGGAGAATCAAGTATAATACTCACTATTTGAAATATTTGATTAACTGGAATCTTCTACCTCCCAATCACTTGGGGGAAATAAGAGATAATATTATACATATTTTGAAATTCTTCGATTATTAACAAAGTTAGTAACTTTCTACCTAGATTTCTAACATCCTAGAACTTAAATAGATTCAATTTCCAATAAATTTATTGACAGAATTTTGATTTAAGTATTATACAAGAATTTAGGAATTTAAGTGTCTCCCTTTTCAAAATGTACTACTCATGAAAACCAAATGGCCAATGATGAGCAAAACAGATGAGAACAGTAGTAGAATCCGACTATTATGGATTTGTAGGGTCCCATTCCACAGCCCAGTCCTCAGCCTTTATTTCCACTGTTAACACAGGTGGCAGCCCCAGGCCCTGTTCACACCTGTTCCTCACACACCATGGGCACACCATCCTCTAGCCTTCCTGATACACTTAACTTTCCACTCTAGTGAGCTCTTAGAGTGCAAGTAAATGAGGTGTGAACCAGACAATCAGAGCAGAAATCGATGATTCTCCATCTTAGCGGGCTTCTGTGGGTAGCATGTTTTGGGGATGCACTTGGCCTGGGACCCATGTCTGCTGGTGCTATTGTTGAGAATATCAGGAAGAGCAACTTCCCTTGGGCAGCTTATTCCCCTGACCCACACTCTGATCTCACATTCACTCAACAAATACACAGCTCTGCGTTGCTGGGCCAACTCCAGAGCTTCTCCCTCTCTGCAGAATTCGTGTGTTCACTGGATGCCTCCGATGAGTTCCTGAAGGAGCGGGTGATGAACCTTCCTGAGACCGTTGTGGCTGGAACCCACTATAGCCAGGACCGCTTCCTCCGGGCGCTAAGCAACTACCGGGACATCAATATTGAAGATGAGACTGTCTTAAACTATTTTGATGAAATTGAAATCCACCCAATACATATTGGTATGAAATGAACTGCAGGGGGATGTGGATGTTCAGACCCAGGACACCCCTGCCAACCAGGGTGCACATCTGATGGGGATGGTGGGGATGAGGAGTGTGGGGTATAACCCTGTGCTGGGGCTCAGGGAGCCACAGGTGGACTGGCACTCCTCTGGGCTGTTGTTCCACCAGGGGACATGGTGGTGAAGAAGAATTATAGGAAAACATAGGGGTACATTATGAAATGGAAGCCAGATAGGCCTATTTTTAAAAAGGCATTTTGAAGAAATGCATTCTTACTACTGGTTGCTTTGGACCCTTCCTCCAGGTTTCTTGGGGCACTGTTCTGTCCCCATTGCTTGCCAGGCAGTGGCACTTTTCACAGACCTCAGACTCACCTTCTGTTTCCCACAACACACAGCTCAGCTCAGCACGCAGCACTGCTCAAGAACCAGCGTCTGCATCAGCCTCTCCCCACCCTCCTGTCCCCTCACACCTCAGAGCTGTCCGGCTTCCCTTGGCTCAGCGAACCTTCAGTTTCCTTTCTAGTTTTCTGGCTCTTGATACTTCTCTGGGTTTGGGGAAAACACCCGTTCCCTACCTGGCAGATAGGACAGCATTTGGAACCTGGAGTACTGTTAGGCTTAGAACTAAGAGACGGTGGGGACAGAGGGCTCACTCCAGCTCTGGCTCTGTCCTCTCATCAGTGAAATAGGAAAATGACCACTCTGGAGGCTTGTTATGAATGGTAGAGATGAGAGATAAAGTGCCTGGTGCATTGAAGGAGTTTATCACTATCCATACTAAGGCATAACGTGATGCACTATTAAGAAACAGAAAAATAAGCTGGACACAGTGGCACACACCTATAGTCCCCGCAACTCAGGAGGCTGAGGCAGGAGGGTCACAAGTCTGAGGCAGCCTCAGCAACTTAGCAAGTCCCCGTCTCAAAAAGGGCTAGGGATGTAGCTCAGTGGTAAAGTGCTTCTGGTTTCAACACCCAATACTGAAAAAGAAAAAAAAAATATATACAAGTCTATAAAGTCTTCTTCTCTGTTTTACACCCTCAGCATTGATTGGGGTTTGCCATCGTTCCGATGTGTTTCTGCACAAGGAACACACTTATATATAAAGAGCTACTAATATGAAAGTCAAACTGTTTACCTAAAGAACTAGGAAAAAAATGGTAAATTTCAGAAAATTGTCATCTTTTCAGTAAAGGCTAAAAAATTATTTATAGAAAGAAAGATCAGAGAACCTGAGGAGAGACACTGAGGAGAAACCGAGGTGGGTGGAGGAAGGAATGAGTGACCGTAGTGTTCCTGCCCGTCCTGTCTGTGCCCATTGCACTGAGCCTCATGTCCACACTGACAACTGGGAGATAAAGGAAAAGCAAAGGGAGAAGCGGATCACAGGTGTGGGCATTGGGGGGTGGTGTCTGAAGGTCAGGAATGCAGGCTGGCCTCATAAGGGTCTGCAACGGGACCTGGGAAGATGCTGGGAAGCACATTCTCTGCATGTCGGGAGTCCACTTCTCTGTGGGTCTTTTGTCCCATCTCTTTGGACCACACCCTCTGTAGACCAGTGTACTCCTCCTCCTGTCTGGCCTACAGCAGACTGAGGCCACCGTAACCCTGGAGTTGCCTTGCTATCTGGGAGTTGAGCCAGAGCTGGACTTGACTCTGTGTCCCAACACCACATTCCTAGACAGGCAACTTTGCTGGTTGAGGTTTGGTCAGATATCACGGGGCCCAACAGCAGCTACCCAGTTCCAAGGGTCGAGGAGGATGTTGCAGATTATTTAGCAGATCACACTCCATTAAAACGGAACCCATTAAGAAACATTTGAGGGCACTTAGTGACATCAAGGTTGTGATTACTTGGAGACATCAGGGAGTACATCTCAATTTCAGAGGTCAGGCAATGGGGAGGTGGCAGGTTGGGCCTGTATTTCGCTTTTCCAGGATTTATTTCTGCTACTCTCTAATGCATGGGCCCTGCTCCTCCCCTCTTCTATTAGAACTTGCTGTGTCTCTAGTCTAGATCAAGGTCATGCACAGCAGTGGCTGCGGGTGAGATGCAGCAAGCAGTTGCCAGGTGTGCACTACCTTCCATTCTCTGCAGAAACCTCCCAGGAAAACCCAAGCATGAGCCGGGCACAGTGGCACACACCTGTGATCCCAGCAACTCGGGAGGCTGAGGCAGGGGGATCGCAAGATCCTGACCAGCCTGGGAAACTTAGCATGACCCTGTGCCAATATAAAAAATAAGGAGGATTGGGGATGTGGCTCCGTGGTTAAATGCCTCTCGGTTCAATCCCTGGTACCAAATAAAATAAAATCATAACAACAAGCCAGGCATCATGACACACAATTATAATGCCAATTACTCAGGAGGATCCCAAGTTCAAGGCCAGTTTTGGCAACTTAGTAAGACCCTGTCTCAGAATAAAAAATAAAAAGGCCTATGGATGTAGATCAGGGGTAGAGCACCTCTGGGTTCCAATCCCAGTACTGCAAAAAGGAAGAAAGCAAAAAAGGTTGAAAGGAAGGGAAGGGGGGAGAGTGGGAGGGAGGGGAGGAAGGAAGTCCGTTTTGGTCACAGCTGCACAGAGTCTGGTTCATACTCCACAGGCCCTGTTGCTTTGGGCCTGTGACAAGGCAGCATATCATGGGGGAGCCTGTGGAAGAGCCAAACTTCTGGGCCCATGGCCTGGAAGCGAAGGAGAGTCAGAGGAAGAGTCCAGAGCCCCAAATCTCCTTCAAAGGCACATCCCAGTGACCTAAGTGTCCTGGACATTGTGCTCAGCAGATCAAGCACCACTGGGAGAGCAGGAGAACTCAGGTTCGTCCATCAATGGATCCAGATGAGCCTGTGCTCTGAGGTTCTGGGCCCCGGTACAATATTGGTGGGTTAGGATTCTTGACCTTCAGGACCAAGGACCATGTACAAAATTTCATAAGTAGTTCACAGGTGCAGAACAAAGGAAAACACTGGGGAGCGTTGTTATCGTGGCTTAGACAACAGTTAATTGGCATTGTGACCTAAAATTTATAGTAGCCATTAAGTGATGTAGCTACATCCCTAAAAAGTTTACAAACTAAAAAAATAAAAAGTTTACAAAGTATAAGAAGTATCTCTGGCCTTGAAAAACCTGATATGTTTACATATCAAGAGAGAGTCACCAGACTCCTACAGATAAGCTATTTACAACCCAATTAACCTCTGGTTAATTAGGTTCCCTGAGGAGAGGCTGAGAGGTGGGCTAACCCTTTCCCCAGGCGCTGGTTCTTCATCATAATGCTCTTATAATTTCATTTTATTATCAGATCTGGCATCTCCACCATATAAGCTAGGCCCCCTCTCTTAAAGGCTCTACCTCCTGATGTACCACCCTGGTGACCAAACCTTTCACACATGGTCCTTTGGGGACATTCAAGATCCAAACTATAGCACAGCCCATTCTCTAATCCATCCATTCAGATCAACAATCCGACAGACCCAAGCCCACATCCTCCTGCTTAATTTCAGAGAATCATAAGTATTCCATGGGAATAGAAATTCTCAACTGTCGTCCCCTAGAAGAGGAAACTTCAGGGTGGCGATCTGTATAATTTGCTATCACAAGCAAATTATACAATAATAAGAAAGGATATCCCTAATAGCAGACAGCCCTAGAATATAAGTATGTGTTGGTCTCCCCTCTCCCGTATTTAAAGATGTAGGAAAACTTGAAGATGCTCAGAACAGACTTGCCATCAAACAGCTCATCAAAGAGATTGGGGAGCCTCGAAATTATGGTTTAACCGAGGAGGAAAAGGTCGAAGCCGATCGGCGAGCTGCAGAGGAACGCCTGGCTAGGGAGGCTGCCGCGGAGGCTGAGTGTGAGCGCCTTGAGGCCATGGAGGCTGCGGAGAAGCTGGCCCGCTGGGAGGAGTGGGTGAGTGAGCATGGGGGGGAGGGGTCATGGAAACACCCCAAACATGGATTTCCGTTATATGTACCATCTTAAAAAGACATCCTCAGTCTTTTGCTTAATTAATGAGAAAAACTTGGCACTGTCAGTAGGATTAATAACATATACCTCTGTGAATGTGCTGCATTTGGCTGCGTGCTCTGACTTGGTTTGATTTTTCCTCCATTTACCCATCTAACCTAAGTGGTCAGCCTCCCTTTCCAAATCACTAAGGCTGGTTAATTCTGCTTCCCAAAACAGCACTCAGATCCATCCACACTCTCCACTTCTCCTGACCAGGGTCAGTGTGTCTCATCAGAATTAGGGGGTGTCCTCTCCCCAGCTCTTCCTCTCTGCCCCTGTCCATCTCCCACTGTTCCTCGCTGCTGCCAGGTGGTGCTTCTAACCTGCAGCTCCACCACGGGCATCGCTGTTTAAAGCTCCTCACGGGCTGTCCGGCTCCATTAGGTAAAAGTCCATTCTCCTCATTGTTAACTCACAAGGTCCTGAGTGTCCCGGGCACTTCGAATCTTTCCCAATTTCAAACTCTGCCCGGTTGGTCTTCTCACACCATCTGCATGACTGACTGCCTCATCACAACTCTGCTAAAAGTTTCTTTCTAAGGAGGCTTTTTCTGGCCACCATTTGTAGAATTTCAACCCGTCTTCTTCCTACCATGTTACACACCCTTTCATACTTCTGACTTTCTTCTCTAACAGTTCTATATATTTTATATGTTCAACTTGTTTCTTGCCCTTTCCTTGCACAGAATTCAAGTTACATGAGGACAGGAGTCTTTGTCATTGTGTTCCACTGCTATATTTTTCAGTGCCCAGAACAATGCCTGAGAGGCACTAAGAAAATGTTGTGAAAAGATGGAAGGAAGGCAGGCTAGAAAAAAGGACAAGGGGAGGGAGAATGTCCTCAGCACACATCCTTGGGGGATGGATTGATTGCCTTGGCATAAATTCCTAAGATCTGTTGGGTCAGACTAGGCAAGGTTCAAGGTTTTGTTTGTTTGGTTTTTGTTTTCTTAAAAATATTTTTAGTAGTAGATGGACCTAACTTTATTTATTTATTTTTATGTGGTACGGAGGATCCAACTCAGTGCCTCACAAGTGCTAGGCAAGCGCCCTACCACTGCGCCCCAGTCCCAGCTCAGCCCTCAAGTTTTGATATATACTTCTACACTGCCCTCCAGCAAGGGTAAACTGATTCACACATCATCTAACAGAGGCTGTTTTCCGACACTTCATTCAACCTGGCTTTCTCAAATTTGTTCAAACATGTCAAACTGATAAAGAAAAACAACCATGTTGTATTTGGATTCATTCTCTGATCTCTAATTTGACAACCTTTCCAACTTTGTTAGGAATTGAAGTTTCATGTTGCTCGTTGTCACTGTGTGTAGGCTGTCTTTTTCTTGTTATTTATTAGAACTCCTGATACAGCAATATAATAGAAACAGCAATAACCTCAATTGGTCTTCCAAGACTTGCTCCAAGCATTCAAATCCCACTCCACTCTCTTTGTAGGTATGTGGCCCTGCCAGAGTTACCTTTGTACCTCAATTTCTCTATCTGTAAAATGGGGATTCAGGCCTAGAGATGTGACTCAGTGGTAGAGTGCTCACCCAGAATTATAAAGCCCTGGATTTGATATAAGTGCTATAAAAATAAATAAAAATGATAAATGAATAATGTGGGAACAATGATAGCACCTACTTCATAAAGTTGTACCTGATTAAAACATTAATTAAAGGGCTAGAGTTGTGGCTCAGTGGTAGAGCACTTGCCTAGCATGTATGAGGCACTGGGTTTGATCTTCAGCACCACATGAAAATAAATAAGTAAAATAAAGGTATTGTGTTCATCTACAACTAAAAAATATTTTTTAAAAAAACATTAATTAACATAAAGCACACAATGCCTGGCCAATAGTGTGCAGTTACATAAACTCTTTAAAATAGTCTAGCTTTTTATAATGTGCTACAAAGAGTTTTTCTGAATTAATCACCCATCTTTTAATATTATTTATGGCATTTTCTCTGGCCAAACAAATTTTTTTTTTTTGGTCACTCTCAAGGTAAAGTCATAACTGATATTTTTGCCTGAAAACAGATGCTTCTCAGCAAGACAGCAAACCCAGATACCCAAACTGGAAAGTCAAGCATCATAACACACATCTGTGTTCCTTGTAGCCCGGGAGATGTTACCCCCCAACCCCACCCCACTTTTTTTTGTACCAGGGATTGAACCCAAGGACACCTAACTACTGAACTATATGCCCAGGCCTTTTTAAAAATGCTACTTTATTTTGAGACAGGGTCTCACTAAGTTACTTAGAGCCTCACTAAGTTGTTGAGGCTGACTTTGAGTTCATGATCCTCCTGCCTCAGCCTCCCGGGCTACAAGGAACACAGATGTGCGCTATGATGCCTGACTTCCCAGTTTAGGTATCTGGGTTTGCTGTCTTGCTGAGAAGCATCTCTTTTCAAGCAAAAATATCAGTTATGACTTCACCTTGAGAGTGACCAAAAAAAAAAAAAAAAAAGCCAAAAACCTCAAAATGGCCTAAAGAAAGTTTATGAGTTCTTGTAACAGTCCAGGCTTCAGGTGAGACCTGATTTGGTGGCTCAGATAATTCACCAAGGAGCTGGGGTCTCCCTCTCTGCTCTACCTTCCATGGTTGGCTTCATTCTAAAGCCCACCTGATGGGCCTACCCTTAACTAATGCCCATGGGCAGAAGACACCTAGCCCAATAGGCTTAAGTCTTGCCAAAACCAAAACAACAGGCCCCAAAGGCAGGAGTTTTCAAAGGAAATCTGGAGTTGGAGAAAGGGGGACTACACACTGTGCTCTGAGCAGGGACAGCATGGTCACTGTACTAATCCCTCTGGACTCCCCAGTAGCACTCCTGTGATTTTGCTATTTCCTCCCCCGGGCAGCTGGAAATGTTTTTGTATCAGAAAGGATCCATCTTTTGATTTTCTAAATGACGAGACAGTTGTGATCACGTCATTTATGTCTTTTCTCTGCTGACTGAACATGTCATCTTTATCATAAGGTGGTAACATTTTTAGCATTATCCAGTTCTAATGCAGTGTGTGTGTGTGGGGGGGTTGTGTAGAGGTTCTACCATTTCTGACTGTGCATTTTCCCCTCCTCCAAACATACTATTCTTAGAATAAGCGACTAGAGGAAGTAAAACGGGAAGAAAGAGAACTGCTGGAGGCTCAGTCTGTTCCCCTGAGGAACTACTTAATGACCTATGTGATGCCAACCCTCATGCAGGGGCTGAATGAGTGTTGTAAAGTCAGACCCGATGATCCTGTGGATTTTCTGGTAAGAGGTTTAATTTTTTAAAATATCAGTCTCAAAATAAGATTTGCCTGAAGTTTAATGGAAAACACCTGAATAGAGAAATTGTGGGTCTGGTTATTTGAGAAATAGCTTCAAATTCACAGTATACAAGAACATCCAACCCCTACTTATTCTTATATAATAGAATTTTATCATTCATTTGGAAGCAAAGAATTTACATACTTTTATTTTAAAATTATAAGCATTAATAGTACAAATATATAACTAATAATAAATATCTTATAAATTGTTGATTTGTCTTTTTGAATTGTAGGCAGAATATCTCTTCAAGAACAATGCTGAAACGCAGTAAAACTTCAAAGATCTTGTAACATGCAACCCTACAGAGCTAGAGATCAACTTAACAGTGTAATCTGAAAAAATTGCTTTTAGAAATGCATTCTTAGTTTTTTGAAAATTCTTTCTTTTTCTGTAACCAAATATTCTATAAAGTAGAATCATTATAAAAAGCTAAATGGCAATGAGTGAATGACTACTTCATTAAAACTACAATTGAAAAATAAATTGATAAGGCATCTGTGCATAGCCTATGAGATCAATGCTGATTTAATATTTCATTATTAGGTCAGTTCCAAATATTCTGCATATTCATGCCCATAGTAATTTAATTTACAGCACAAAGAAAATCACTAGCAGGTTCACTAATGATTTTACACAACTTGTTAACTTAGTACCAGGTCCCAGTACCAATGGTTAGAAATGAAAATAAATAGAACAGTTGTTGAGTCTTAGTAAGTCAGATAAGATTGGCTTCTGTAAGGCTGCTTCTGAGTTCAGGATCAAGATTCTATCTGATGAATCAGAGAACTGTAAACCTTGTGGTGGAAAAAAAATCCATGTTGCACAAAGAATAATACTGATGATATATGTGATAATTAGAAAGTTGCCAAATATATTTTGACAAATTAACTTTATGATATAGGCTTAAGCTCACAATTTTTCCCCAGCTCTGAAACCCCCTTAAAATTCCTAGATTTGCCTTAAATAAGAAATTACTTTAATGATATATATTTTCACAATGTAACCTGAATATAACTACATTTTTAAAATTACATAGACTGTATGTCTGTGTGTACATATATTATTGTTGTTGTTTATTTTTCTGTGGCATTGGAGATCAAACCCAGGGCCTCATGCATGCCAGGCAAATGCTTTACCACTGAGCCACATCCCCAGCCCTTCACATTTTTTTTTTCCTTAAATCATGGTTGTATTAATCAACTTTTCATTTCTGTGGAAAAAAAAAAAAACCTGACAAGAACAATTTAGAGGAGAAAAGTTTAGTTTGACACCAGTTTCACAGGTGTCAGCACATGGCCCTCAGCTAACTATTGCTCAAGGCCCAAGGTGAGGCAGAAGGTCACGCAGAGGGTACTGCAGAGGAAGGCTGCCCAACTCTTGGCAGCCAGGAAGCTGGGGGTGGGGAGGGAAGAAGGGTTAGGGGTAACTAGAGTCCAAGGCCACACCTCCAGTGACCTACTTCTCCATCCAGTATTCATCTGCCTGCAGTTGCCACTCAGTAGTCCTTCCGGCTATCAATGGGTTAACCTAGCAAATAACCCACAGCTGAGGTTAGAACCCTAATCATTGCCTAAAGTCCCCTTTCAGAAGCTTGCTGCATTGGGGATCATTCTGTCAACACATGAACTTTTCAAGAGATATTTGCAACCATAACACATAGTAAAATACACATAACATGTGCCATTGTAAACATCTTTAAGTGTATGTTCAGTACATAAAGTGTATGTGAGAACATTTACAGTGCTGTGCCCCCACCGCCATGATCTAGCTAAGTGACATCATATTGTAACTAAGAATGTTCTCTTTTTCTCCGGATCGTTCTTCTTCTTCGTGTGTGTGTGTGTGTGTGTGTGTGTGTGTGTGTGTGTGTAGTGGTGCTGGGGACTGAATCTAGGGCCTTATACACGTTAAGCATGCATTCTACCACTGAGTTACATCCCAACCCTGTAACTAAGCATCTTTTCATGGGCTTGCTGGCCATTTGGATATTATCTTTTGAAAAAAAATTAATATTCAAGTCTTTGCCCACTTTATTTTGGGTTGTCTTTTGTTGTTGTTGAACCCTAAGTTGCCGGTTCAACTTTCAAAACATACCCTGAGCCAGGCATGGTGGCACACGCCTGTAATCTCAGCGGCTAGGGAGGCTGAGACAAAAGTATTTTGAGGTCAAAGCCAGCCTCATCAACAGTGAAGTACTAAGCACCTCAGTGAGACCCTGTGTCTAAATAAAATGCAAAATAGGGTGGGGAAGTGGATAAGTGGTTGAGTGCCCCTGAGTTCAATCCCCGGTACTAAAAAAACAACTACAAAAATAAAAACCCTGAATCTATTTCTCATCCCCCCCAGCACTACCTCCCCTGGTGCAGGGCAGCATGGTTTCTCCCCTGGATTGCTGCTGTACCACCCCATCCCCCTACCCAGTTCCTTTCTGTGACTTCTTGTAGCTCTCAGCCAGAGGCATCTTAATAATAAACAGAAGTCAGAGCAGCTCGAAGGCCCCTGCCTTCCTATCTCACTTGGAGTTAGAGGCAAAGTCCTGAGCTGGGCCTAGGAGGTTTTGTTCAATCTGATCCATGTGACCTCGCTGCCCCCCTCACTTGGCTCCTCAAGCCATGATCACTGTTGGTGCCTTTGCCTGGGATACTCTGCCCACACACATGTACGGCTTGCTCTCACTTCATCCATGCTCAGCTCAAATATCACCTGCTGAGAGAGGCCTCCCCAGAGGGATCTTCCAATGATACCCCATTCTGTTCCTTTTCTCAGCTCCCATTAGACATGATTTTTATATCTGTGTATTTATTTTCCATCTCCCTCATTAAAATGTAGGCTCTATGAAGGCAAGGATTTTGTTTTTCTGTATCTCTAGAAATTGGAAGAAAACAAAGCATAAATATTAATCAGTGAATGAAAATTATTTAATTGACAGGTAACTAATTCATAAACATCTGTATGTTTATAGATGTATAACTAATTCAAGCCTCTAGTCATCCAACAAAGTTTCCATTTCCATCTGGCTGTGATGGGACACTTAAGTAATAAGGTCACCAAGAGGCCACATTATGTGGCACTAATATTGGCAAATTCATGATGGAGCCTAGTTCTCAACCATGCCATGGTGGTACCTGCTTGCCTGAAGTCCAAGTCACAGGAGTTCAAGACCAGCCTGGGCAACACAGCAAGACCATCTGAAAAAACAAAAAAGTAAAAGAAGAGAGAGAGAGGGAGAGACAGACAGATACCCACGTACCCTGGATGCTCACCTGCCTTCACTGATTTACTGGGAGATCAGGAATGACAACAGAGCACCACACTGAGAAACAACTGGTAGGAGGCAGATTCCTACACCCACTTCACCAGTACCTTCTCTTCCTGGAAGCGCACTCTTTGAGAAGCCCAATGATTAGAGCTGCTTGGGAATACAAAGCCAGTTTGCCTCTCTAGCTTGATAAACACATCCTTGCCACCCTGCTGTGGGGTCCCATCCTTCCTGACAAAATGCACTTTCCCAGCCTTCGTTTAGGTAGGCAGTGATAAGACAACCCAACTTAAAAATAGAAAATTTGATTAACAGTTTCATAAAAGATACCTAAATGAACCATCAGCATATTAAAGAGTATTCAAGATAATTAATTGAGAAATGCAAATAAAAACCACAATGAGATGCTGCTGCAACCCTGCCAGATGTCACCCATCTGGTGAAATCAAAGGCGTGATACTACCAAGGTGTGGAGTCGCGGACCCACAGGCCTTGCTGGTGGGAATGCAGATTAGTGTCAGCACTTTGGAAAACCATTTGGGAGTACTCACTAAAGCTGCAGTTCCACGTGCAGCATGTGGTAGTCTTCCTGGGTTGTGGTTTCATTTTCTGTGGTTTCAATTACTATGATCAACTGTGATCTGAAAATATTAAATGGAAATTTGAATATGCCAAAGACAAGCCATAAAGTATTGAAGAGAAAAGGTGAATGTTCTTAACAAGGGAAAAAAAAAAAAAACTTGAGTGCTGATGTTGCTGAGTGTTGAGAGCCACAGCCAAGTCAGAACGGCCCGAGGCATTTTGTCAGAAGTAATGGTTGAGAGGCAATTCATTAAGATGATGCTGGATTGATTCAATTGTATATTAGACTTTTACTGTCCAGTAATAGGATGGCTCTTGCTGCCTCCTCGGGTGCCTGCTACTTTGGAGTTCCAGTTGAGTTCTTGAGGGGTTCCGAGAGTGAGTGCACTTGCAGCCCAGGGGAGGGAGTTCCGGTGGGTGTGTGGTGTGTTCCTGGAGGAGCCACGTGGGTGGCGTTTGGGAGAGTTCCCAGGGAGTGTGCTGGTGGAGTTTGGAAATAAAGTTTGTTCCTGCTTGAGTGGCTCGTGATTTGTGTCCAGCCAGACTGCAGCAGCTGAGATCTCCACTACAATATTTTGAGAGGCCACATTCATATAACTTTCATTACAACTTATTGTTATAATTGTTCATTCTTACTATAAGTGATTGTTAATCTTTTACTGCGCCTAATTTATAAATTAAATTTTATTAGTTTTTATGTATAGAAAAAAAACATCCCCATAGTTTGATCTGAAATGTCCCCCAATGTGTAGAAAGGTTGGTCCTCAGCTGGGTGCTGGGCAGTAGCAGAAGCCTTAAGAGGTGGGAGGTCTCAAGGTCTTAGGTGGTGTACCCTAGAAGTGGAAGTGGGAACCAGCCCTTCCTCCTCCTCTCTCACCTCCCAGCCATGAGATGAGCAGATTTACTCTACCATGTGCTCCCGCCATGGAGGGCTTCCATGCTCACGAAGCTAAGAGGCCAACTGATCATGGATTGAAACCTCTGAAACTGTTGGCCAAAATTAGCGTTTTCTTTCATTAGTTGACTATCTCAGACACTTGTTTCAGTCCTGGAAAGTTGATTAACACAAATATAGGGGTCTTGGAATGCATCCCCTTAAGATGGGGGAACTACTCTATAACCAAGAGAGATCAGTGCTTATATCCAACAAAAGACATGAACAAGAACACTTTTATTCATAAAAGCCAAACCGTGGAAACAACTCAAGTATTCACCAAAGGGAAAAATACATACTGTGTTCAAGTCACACAAGAAAATAATTATACACAGAAATGAAAAGCAGGGTACTGGGGACTGGAGAATGTATCTCAGTGGTAGAGTGACTGCTTTGTATTCATGTTCAATCCCTAGCACTCTTTCAAAAAGACAGCAAAGAATAGACCATTACCTCCAACAACAGGAAGAATGTGACAGACATAATGTTAGTAAAAGAATTTAGATACACTGCTGGGGTCGCAGCTCAGTGGTAGAGCACATGCCTGACGTGCATGAGGCCCAGGGTTCAATCCTCAGTACCTTAAAAAAAAAAAAAGAAAGAAAAGAAAAAAAGTAGGGGTTTAATTTCATTTTGTTGCATATGGATTTCCAGTTTTCCCAGCACCCTTTGTTGAAGAGGCTATCTTTTCTCCAATGTATGTTTTTGGCACCTTTGACTAATATAAGTTAACTGTAATTATGTGGGGTAGTGTCCTCTATTCTGTACCAATGGTCTACTGGTCTGTTTTGGTGCCCATACCATGCTGTTTTTGTTCCCATTGCTCTGGAGTATAGTTTAAGATCTGGTATAGTGATGCCACCTGCTTCACTCTTCTTGCTAAGGATTGCTGGGAATGGAACCACCATTTGACCCAGCTATCCCACTCCTCGGTCTATACCTAAAGGACTTAAAAACAGCATACTACAGTGAAGCAGCCACATCAATGTTTATAGCAGCACAATTCACCATAGCTAAACTGTGGAACCAATCTAGATGCCATTTTACAGATGAATGGATAAAGAAATGTTGTATATATACACTATGGAATATTACTCAGTAATAAAAGAGAATAAAATTATAGCATTTGAAGGTAAATGAATGGAGTTGGAGAATATAATGCTAAGTGAAATTAGCCAATCCCAAAAAACTGAATGCTAAATGTTGTGTCTGTTATAAGGAAGTTGATTCATAGTGGGTTGGGAGGAAGAGCATGG